TCATTTCATATTTCTACGATAAAACAATGATAAGAAAATACTGACATGTAGAAAGCTGGAATATCACTCTTGAAAGGGACAATGGATTAGGAGTAATCCCTCTAAAGAGATCACACAACATATATTTTATTAAAACATGAGAATGATGGCCAATGAGCATTGCAAATCATGCCCTCGTTCAAATATCAGAGATTAATAATACTACCTTTATGGGAAATATCTAAGATTATTATATAAGCATGTGCATCGTATTGATTTTACGAAACAAGGGTCAGAATTCTTGTACTTGCAGAATGAGAGCCAGTGTTATACACATATAATTATACAAATTTCTTGCAAGTATATATTTTTTTATTTAAGCTCCCCTCACGAAACATTCACAGATTTTTTAGGCTGCACAAAGACATGTACAAACCAACTACATGCTTTCCAAATACATGCATTAATACTGTCCGAATGTTTATTTGCTATCTATAAATGTATTGCTGTGACAAGACCAATTTATAGATGACACCTCCTAGTTAGCAAAACATCTATACTACTCAAAGAAGATAAAGAACGCATGATTGTTTCATTTGACTACAGTTAATCTGTCATACCCCTAAACCACTATAGCTCAAATTGCTTCTGCTTAAATGTTACTATTGCATTAAACAAGTACAGCAGGGGTGGACATAACCGATTGCCCGACGTCCGAGTCCAGTGTTGTTTTCGGTCGGGCAAGCTTATTTGTATATCATGTTGCACCGGTGTCCAGTTGACTTTCCAATGTTAATTATGTTGTTTATTTAAAAGATCAACAAAAAAATCGGCCGGTATAGTGGAAATATTATCAGGGCAAGTGATTTTACATGTGCCACTGTACCAGAGTACACTAGCAATTTTAAAGTATATTTCCACCCCTGTACATATATGTTTCATGAATTAATTGATCACTATGAGTAGAAAAGAATGGCCATGTGGTCTTTATATTCATGATTATAAAAGGTCTCAATTTGTAGACACAGGATTGACTGTACCAACAATAACAATGCCATACCTCAGATAATATTTAGAGTTATCTCCCTTTGGTAATTTACAACTGACTCTTGACCCATGGCTTTCTTTCTTCGATTTCTGATATTGGTTATTTAAATTAATATTCTGAACAGTCCGAGGAACCAGACCACACGCACGACAATAAAAACACAAACATATAATTAACATACAGAAAACATAGCCAACAACGGTATTCTAATACTGCAGATGATACATTACTGATCCACTGTAAAAACGCATAAGGGACCGTTCATAATTTATGGCCGGGGTGGGGTGGGGTTGTGTGGGGTGGGTGGGTGGGGGTTGTGGTTGTTTGATGATTTTTATGGAGAAGCATGTACAATGTGAATGACCCCCTAAAATTTATGTAATGAAGTAAGTGACCCCCTGCATGTCATGTCCAAAATCAATGACTTCCCCTCCCCCTTCCAATATTTTATAAGCATAATTTTAAAATATTTTATGTACAAAATTGATGACCACCACCCAAGGAACATGTGTACCAAATTGATGACCCCCCTACCTCCCCAGAACAAAATGGGTGGACCCCCCCCATAAAATCATCATCACACCCACACACACCCCACACACCCCTTTATGAATGGTCCCTAATCAACTTTAAATCAGAAAAGACGTGTTGTGTGCCTGTAAACAAAGACACTATTACCAAAATCTGAAAACAATCCATTAAATGATAGTAAAATTATTGGGTTAACAAATTTTCCCCAAGTAGAAGAGATGTAATTCATGATTTTTCTTGATAAAAAAAATAATATCAAAATAAAACTTTGCATTGAACCTCTCTTATAGACATAGAGTGTCATCACCATATTTCGAGAAGTATCCATGACAATGTGTTCACTTTATTGGCAGAACAAAACTTCCCTTGGGTCTTTTTCAAGTTCAAAAGATGTAAATTGAACAAACTTTCCTAAGTTCAATATTTTTACATAGCTGAAACTCTTTAAAGAATTAAAATATCAAAATATGCACCTCTTCTTTAGACAAAGACGGTGGTCCCCAAATAAACAATCTAACCAATAGTTTACAAGTTACTGGTTGAACAAAAATGTCTTCAGGTGGACAAATGAATGGACAGATGGAATTCCATGGTATAACTTGTGTAAAAGGTGTATTACGGTATCAAAACTAGTCCACACATGCATTTTCTACCAACATCAATGATAAATCCTGTTGCCAAATGCATGTGTCTTGATAAACAAGGTTTGACTATTACAAAAAGCTGATTATGTGTTTTCAAAGTGTATCAGTATACATAATCTGTATCTGGATTTCATTACATCTTGAATACAAGAAAAAAATAGTCTTTGATCATAGCTCTGTAATGCCTGTAGTTATACACAGAACTCACTGGGCCCACGTCCACAAACAGGGAGGTGAAATGGGGTTTAACAAGGCAGGGTAACAAAAGTACAGTGGAATCTGTCTTTTACGGACTGGCCTGGGACCGACTCATTTGTCCGGATTGTAAAGCAGTCCGGATTAGACAACTTTTGTCCATTACTGTAGAGACTGCCACGATGAGTTACTGTATATTACCGTAGATAAACCAAATTTTGAGGACCCATAAAAAAAACCAGTCTGTAGAAGGTGGTCGACTTATCTATGGATTACACATTCGTCAAACTTTTTTTCAGGGTAAGAAAACGACATCGTATCGAACAAACAACAGAAGATGACTTTGTCAGTAAAGACATCAAATTTGCAATTAAACATCACTAGACAAGATTATTTACCTTTTCAGTTCTAATTTATTTTTGCTAGGCATTGTCTTGATTGTAGGGATTAAGATTACTGTCCTTTAGCATATTTTGAAATTAAGTGGCCATGGAGGAATCCAAAGATCTTTGTTGTATCATGTAAATCCCACTTCACATCACAGACAGGTATATACCTCACCAAGTTAACAGTTTGTAAAGAAAGCACAGTTACCAGTTCTTTTATTCTTTTTCACCAACTTTAACCCCATATGGGTATTTTTGACATTATAATTCCTGTAAGTTTGTGTGTCCATTGGATAACAAACATGTGAGCTTACACATTTCTCTCAATTTCTTACAAGCAGGAAACATTCCTCTCATGATGTCAAACAGTAGGGATGACTATTGACTGACTGACTGAGTTTGGTTTTACACCGCTTTTAGCAATATTCCAGCAACATCACTGCGGGGGACACCAGAAATGGGCTTCACACATTGTACCCACGTGGAGATTCGAACCCGGGTCTTCAGCGTGACGAGCCAACGCTTTAACCACTAGGCTACCCCACCGCCCCAGGGATGACTATTGAGGGGGAACCAACTATTGCGATAGTGATAGTCTATTGCAACATTCAGACATGAGAATGGCAAAGCACAAAAAACACTGAAAATTTAGCCGGGGATCTTGGGGGTCTTTTAATGCAGATTTACATCGATCTCAAAACGTTCAAAATGAAACAAAAAAAACGGAAATCCACGGAAAAATCTCATGTCTGAACATACTATTGCGATTAACTATTGCAATACTATTGCAATAATGTTTTTCTCCTTGAATTGTCTCATTTGAAGTTATTTCCCAAATGAATGTATAGTTTATATGAAATAGAAACAAGTTGAAGTAGTTTCAGTCTCTTTTGATAACTGACAAGAAACTTGAAACCCAGATCATGTAAACAGATAAAACATAAACTCAATGAAGCTACAAGTCTGCACCCAATGATCCTGTATTTTGCTCTGCACATTTACCAACAGAAATCAATTACTAAACAATCGATACTATTGATGCATCGATAGTTTTTCGTTTCTACCATCGATTAATTGCTATTGGAGACTCAAAAATTGCAATCCACCGATAGTTCGATGCATCGTTACCGCCCTAACAGTGTTATGTCTTGAAACATTTATACAATCGTTACAACTTCATTGTCTGCACAAGCTTTCCATCAACTGGTGTAGATAATGTCAATTATGTGGTGCTTGGTAAGCAAATGGATTTACAAAATATCTGCACTACCATAATGGAATTGTTCTTTTAACTTTACTTTCGAGACAAACACCCAATGTCTGAAACTGTCAGTACAAGACAACAAGCTAGTCATGGTTCCCATGGCCCGTCAGACAACTGGTTTTATGAGTAAAGACGTGTCTGTACCACCTATAACAAAACAAATATCACTGGATAAAACAGTCGGGTCTACGATGCAACACAACACATCTGAGGCAGACTCTGAATTGTTGAAAGGACGCTGCACACAGCCAAAACCAGAAATATTGGCAATACTTCATGCGTTTGTATACACTAAGCTCCTCCATGACATGTGTGCTTGGATATATACTGTATTTCATCTGTATCTTGTCTGTCTACAAACAAACTTTGACTTCACTTGACTTGGGAATGCATGCCAGCTTTGAAAGTAGTTTTGTCGTGTGGAATGATACTGCACATTTCATGGGTTTGTATACACATACATTCCTCTATCACCTGTGAACGTACGCCAGCTTCGCTTGTAGTCTTGTCATGGGTCCACTTTAGTCAGCTAATACAAACAGGCTATGTATACTCACAGAAGTATAATGAAAACCTTATGGTCAAATGAGCAGTATTCTATGAATTGATTTTTGTGCAAATGCTGCCCAATATTTAACAACATTAAGAGCAAATATTGCAAAGTTTGGGCACATGTTTCAATCATCAGTGAGAATCACTGCTTTTTGTGAGATGTAACCTGGGAGCTAATTGGTTGAAGAACATTGTTGTCCTCACACGTAGGCTGAAAACAGGCGTTAAATGTATAGACACACATTTCATACATACTCCTGAAAACTGATGATACCCAAAATAATAATATACTCGAAAGTCGATATGGGGTCAAGTGCAGTTTTCTCAAGTTTCTTTAAAGAGGATGACAGGTTGTTCCGTGAGCTGTCTGAAACATGGCTGCACCCAAAACCACATTGAGCTGTCTGAAACATGGCTGCACCCAAACCACACCACCCTAGATGGCCACACACACACACACACACACACACACACACACACACACACACACACACACACACACACACACACACACACACACACACACACACACAAAATGTTAGCAGGAGCTGCACAAGCAGTAAGGCCACTTTGGTTCAAACAGACACTAGAAGCACTAGGTATTTGTAGAATGGAGCGCCTGAAAGTCCTGACCAAATGAACACAGTTTGGCGATGTCTCTTGTCTGCATCATACACCCTGTCATCTGTTCTCTTCGTCATCAATGTTCACAACATGTTCGCCATCTAAAACAGAGGAAGTGTTTGTTTCATATTTAACATGAAACGATATGCGGTCTTGCTTGGAAAATGTCAAACCTCCCAAACGATATGCGGTCTTGCTTGGGAAATGTCAAACCTCTTAACCGATATGCGGTCTTGCTTGGAAAATGTCAAACCTCCCAACCAATATGAGGTCTTGCTTGGAAAAGGTCAAACCTCTTAACCGATATGAGGTCTTGCTTGGAAAATGTCAAACCTCCCAAATGATATGCGGTCTTGCTTGGAAAACGTCAAACCTCCCAACCGATATGCGGTCTTGCTTGGAAAAAGTCAAACATCCCAACCAATATGTGGTCTTGCTTGGAAAAAGTCAAACCCCCCAACCAATATGCGGTCTTGCTTGGAAAAAGTCAAACCTCCCAACCGATATGCGGTCTTGCTTGGAAAATGTCAAACCTCCCAACCGATATGCGGTCTTGCTTGGAAAATGTCAAACCTCCCAACCGATATGCGGTCTTGCTTGGAAAAAGTAAAACCTCTTAACCTATATGAGGTCTTGCTAGGATAAAGTAAAACCTCCCAACCGATATGCGGTCTTGCTTGGAAAAAGTATAACCTCTTAACCGATATGAGGTCTTGCTTGGATAATATAAAACCTGTTCAGGAGTTATTACAACAAAAGCAAGTCTTGTCCAAAACATGGTCAGTATCCATTATAGGTTATAAGTGGTACTCACTGACTGAGAATTCAGGGGCCACATTTCCTTGTGGGCTGAAGGAATCATAGCGTCTCCGTCCGACAGTGCCGACTTTGGCCTTGGGGATGACCTTGGCCCTTGTTGTGATTCTTGATTCCGAATAATGTCGGCAAGTTTTGGCATCATCGACTGACTCAGAATGGAGGCAAAGTAGACAAAACTTAGCAGCATCTGTAATTCATACAATGTTAGATTACTGAAAAACATATTCTATTTCCAAGGCAGCATAAATGTAACACAGCATGATGATCAAATAAAAAGGGTCAATTTCAGTATTCCAAAGGGAGATAATTGCTGGGTTTTGATATAAATGTACAATAGTTGGCTGGTATTCCTGGTCACATTTGGACCTATATCAGCATCTTTATGACTGTTCCAGGGCGGTGGGGTAGCCTAATGGTTAAAGTGTCTGCTTGTCATGCTGAAGACCCAGGTTTGATTCCCAGGTTTCTGATTTCATGGTCAGAAACTAGCCTCACACTTCATACCCATATGGGGAATCAAACCTGGGCCTTTGGTCTAATGAGCAAATGCTTTAACTACTAGGCTACCCCAGTGACCCTACTGGTGTCAAGAGTGTCATCATAGTTAACAATCAGTTGATTGTGAGTTCAACAATTAGCCTACCAATGGGGAGCTGTGACCTACAGCAGTGAGGAGCCTCCTTGGGAAGTGGTAAGGGAGATAACTCTGATGATGTGTGATAAGAAATTGACATGTTCTATAAGAGTACCATGACTGATATATCTCTTCAACCGAGGGTTATTTCAATAAAATCAAGTCGTGAAGAACTCCCTAAGGATGTTGTTTACTCTTCTTCATTCTATTATATTTAACAAAACCATCAAAAAGCTATCAACCATTACCCGTATTTGGGCCGGATGAGACGTACCTGAGCTGCGGCAAATATACAGTTGTACCAGTCTTTAGGCAGGGCATTGTCAGATCCTGAAAAGATGAGATGACGTGAAATGAGGTCTAACACTGTGATTCAGGGCATTGTCAGATCCTGAAAAGATGAGATGACATGAATTGAGGTCTAACACTGTGATTCAGGGAATTGTCACATCCTGAAAAGATGAGATGACGTGAATTGAGGTCTAACACTGTGATTCAGGGCATTGTCAGATCCTGAAAAGATGAGATGACGTGAATTGAGGTCTAACACTGTGATTCAGAGCATTGTCAGATCCTGAAAAGATGACATGACATGAATTGAGGTCTAACCCTGTGATTCAGGGCATTGTCAGATCCTGAAAATTGTCAGATCCTGAAAAGATGTGATTCAGGGATGATCCTGAAAAGATGAGATTGATTGGTCTAACACTGTGATTCAGGGCATTGTCAGATCCTGAAAAGATGAGATGAGATGAATTGAGGTCTAACACTGTGATTCAGAGCATTGTCAGATCCTGAAAAGATGAGATGACATGAATTGAGGTCTAACACTGTGATTCAGGGCATTGTCAGATCCTGAAAAGATGAGATGAGATGAATTGAGGTCTAACACTGTGATTCAGGGCATTGTCAGATCCTGAAAAGATGAGATGCGTGAATTGAGGTCTAACACTGTGATTCAGGGCATTGTCAGATCCTGAAAAGATGAGATGACATGAATTGAGGTCTAACACTGTGATTCAGGGCATTGTCAGATCCTGAAAAGATGAGATGACGTGAATTGAGGTCTAACACTGTGATTCAGGGCATTGTCAGATCCTGAAAAGATGAGATGACATGAATTGAGGTCTAACACTGTGATTCAGGGCATTGTCAGATCCTGAAAAGATGAGATGACATGAATTGAGGTCTAACACTGTGATTCAGGGCATTGTCAGATCCTGAAAAGATGAGATGATGACATGAATTGAGGTCTAACACTGTGATTCAGGGCATTGTCAGATCCTGAAAAGATGAGATGACATGAATTGAGGTCTAACACTGTGATTCAGGGCATTGTCAGATCCTGAAAAGATGAGATGACATGAATTGAGGTCTAACACTGTGATTCAGGGCATTGTCAGATCCTGAAAAGATGAGATGACATGAATTGAGGTCTAACACTGTGATTCAGGGCATTGTCAGATCCTGAAAAGATGAGATGACGTGAATTGAGGTCTAACACTGTGATTCAGGGCATTGTCAGATCCTGAAAAGATGAGATGACGTGAATTGAGGTCTAACACTGTGATTCAGGGCATTGTCAGATCCTGAAAAGATGAGATGACGTGAATTGAGGTCTAACACTCTGATCGAGGTTATTAAACAATGTGAATACATGAGCATGTGTGTCACTGCTTGTACTAGTCGAGAATTATGCCAGTTTTATAGTGCTACCTCACTGAGATACCATGCTGCAGTTTGATAGTGATACACCAAAGAGGCACATTATCCTAGCATGTCGGCCTTGTGGTATCCCTTTATCACAAAACAAGGCATCGGTGAAAACAAGTATACAAGTAAAAAATGCAGCTTCAAATATTTAGAAGAAGTTGTTAAGATTGTCTTTTATGAGGGGATTCACATCAGCTAGTTTGAAGTGAACGCTTCTCAGTGAATGATTAAATCATTCAGCCAGGGTTTTGCACGATACAAAATAATGCATCCTATTAGCATAAATATTGAATAAGGACACAAATACTTTCAACTGTGAGGAATGTTGGCTGTTTAAAGCATGCTTCTGAACATGTACAACAATCTCACATGAGAGGAATCCCTGCACATACTGACTCCATCCTGGAACCCCAATAATCATGCTTACACACACCCCTTGTCAGTTTGCATTGTGAGTGAGTGAGTGAGTGAGTGAGTGAGGGACACCAGAAATGGGCTTCACGCATTGTACCCATGTGGGGAATCGAACCTGGTCTTCGGCGTGACAAGCGACAACTTTAACCACTAGGCTACCCGACCGCCCCGATTGTTCATAGAATGTACCCATGATGTCTGCTTACCACATAATGTTGCCGTGGAAACGGAGAAGAAGAGGAATTTGGCATACAGGACCACCACAAAGACAGGATCAGAGATCAGATCTTCCTGGATAAACTTCCATGAATTTGGCTGTGGAATTTTAGGTAAGAATTAACATACAAGAACGGTATCAGAAACAGAAGAACAATCTGGGAAAAGTGAGTGAGTGAGTGAGGTTTAATGCTGCTTTAAACAGTATTAAATGTATGTCAGGCTAATATTGGAGGATTGCTAAATTTAAGCAGGCCTCAGACGTTTACCAATTTGGTGAAACCCACAAGCACGAATCTGGTGCTGATGAACACAGAGGCATAATCAGAGTGAACGGAGATTCAGACCTACAATCCCAGGTGATTAAAGGACGTTACTACCTCCCTGAAGCATACAGGTGAGACACCTACCTGAAGCCTGTATGTAATACAGACGCCTACCTAGAAGCATACAGGTGAGACAGACAAATACCTGAAGCATACAGGTGAGACAGACAAATACCTGAAGCCTGTATGTAATACAGACAAATACCTGAAGCATACAGGTGAGACAGACACCTACCTGAAGCCTGTATGTAATACAGACACCTACCTGAAGCATACAGGTGAGACAGACAACACCTGAAGCCTGTATGTAATACAGACACCTACCTGAAGCATACAGATGAGACAGACACCTACCTGAAGCATACAGGTGAGACAGACACCTACCTGAAGCATACAGGTGAGACAGACACTCTACCTGAAGCCTGTATGTAATACAGACACTCCACCTGAAGCATACAGGTGAGACAGACACAATACCTGAAGCCTGTATGTAATACAGACACCTACCTGAAGCATACAGGTGAGACAGACACTTACCTGAAGCATACAGATGAGACAGACACCTACCTGAAGCCTGTATGTAATACAGACACCTACCTGAAGCATACAGGTGAGACAGACAAATACCTGAAGCCTGTATGTAATACAGACACCTACCTGAAGCATACAGGTGAGACAGACAAATACCTGAAGCCTGTATGTAATACAGACACTTACCTGAAGTATACAGGTGAGACAGACACTTACCTGAAGCATACAGGTGAGACAGACACCTACCTGAAGCCTGTATGTAATACAGACACCTACCTGAAACACACAGGTGAGACGGACGGACAAATACCTGAAGCCTGTATGTAATACAGACACCTACCTGAAGCATACAGGTGAGACAGACAAATACCTGAAGCATACAGATGAGACAGACACCTACCTGAAGCATACAGATGAGACAGACACCTACCTGAAGTATACAGGTGAGACAGACACCTACCTGAAGCATACAGGTGAGACAGACAATACCTGAAGCCTGTATGTAATACAGACACCTACCTGAAGCATACAGGTGAGACAGACAAATACCTGAAGCCTGTATGTAATACAGACACCTACCTGAAGTATACAGGTGAGACAGACACTTACCTGAAGCATACAGATGAGACAGACATCTACCTGAAGCCTGTATGTAATACAGACACCTACCTGAAGCATACAGGTGAGACAGACACCACTGAAATACCTGAAGCCTGTATGTAATACAGACACCTACCTGAAGCATACAGGTGAGACAGACAACACCTGAAGCCTGTATGTAATACAGACACCCACCTGAAGCATACAGGTGAGACAGACACTTACCTGAAGCATACAGATGAGACAGACACCTACCTGAAGCCTGTATGTAATACAGACACCTACCTGAAGCATACAGGGAGAGACAGACAAACACCTGAAGCATACAGGTGAGACAGACAACACCTGAAGCATACAGATGAGACAGACATCTACCTGAAGCATACAGGTGAGACAGACAAATACCTGAAGCCTGTATGTAATACAGACACCTACCTGAAGTATACAGGTGAGACAGACACTTACCTGAAGCATACAGGTGAGACAGACAAATACCTGTAGCATACAGGTGAGACAGACACCTACCTGAAGCCTGTATGTAATACAGACACCTACCTGAAACATACAGGTGAGACGGACAAATACCTGAAGCCTGTATGTAATACAGACACCTACCTGAAGCATACAGGTGAGACAGACAAATACCTGAAGCATACAGATGAGACAGACACCTACCTGAAGCATACAGATGAGACAGACACCTACCTGAAGTTTACAGGTGAGGCAGACACCTACCTGAAGCATACAGGTGAGACAGACACTTACCTGAAGCCTGTATGTAATACAGACACCTACCTGAAGCATACAGGTGAGACAGACAAATACCTGAAGCCTGTATGTAATACAGACACCTACCTGAAGTATACAGGTGAGACAGACACTTACCTGAAGCATACAGATGAGACAGACACCTACCTGAAGCCTGTATGTAATACAAACACCTACCTGAAGCATACAGGTGAGACAGACAAATACCTGAAGCCTGTATGTAATACAGACACCTACCTGAAGCATACAGGTGAGACAGACAAATACCTGAAGCCTGTATGTAATACAGACACCTACCTGAAGTATACAGGTGAGACAGACACTTACCTGAAGCATACAGATGAGACAGACACCTACCTGAAGCCTGTATGTAATACAGACACCTACCTGAAGCATACAGGTGAGACAGACAAATACCTGAAGCATACAGGTGAGACAGACAAATACCTGAAGTATACAGATGAGACAGACATCTACCTGAAGCATACAGGTGAGACAGACAAATACCTGAAGCCTGTATGTAATACAGACACCTACCTGAAGTATACAGATGAGACAGACACCTACCTGAAGCCTGTATGTAATACAGACACCTACCTGAAGTATACAGGTGAGACAGACACTTACCTGAAGGCTGTATATAATACAGACACCTACCTGAAGCATACAGGTGAGACAGACACCTACCTGAAGCCTGTATGTGGAACAGACACCTACCTGAAGCATATGGGAGAGACAGACACCTACCTGAAGCATACAGGTGAGGTAGACACCTACCTGAAGCCTGTATGTAATACAGACACCTACCTGAAGCATACAGGTGAGACAGACACCTACCTGAAGCCTTTATGTGAACTGACACCTACCTGAAGCATACAGGTGAGACAGACACCTACCTGAAGCCTGTATGTAATACAGACACCTACCAGCATATGGGAGAGACAGACACCTACCTGAAGCATACAGGTGAGGTAGGAAGCCATGTAATACAGACACCTACCTGAAGCATACAGGTGAGACAGACACCTACCTGAAGCCTTTATGTGAACTGACACCTACCTGAAGCATACAGGTGAGACAGACACCTACCTGAAGCCTGTATGTAATACAGACACCTACCTGAAGCATATGGGACAGACAGACACCTACCTGAAGCATATGGGACTATTGGGAGATACAGACACCTACCTGAAGCCTCTATGTGGAACAGTGAGTGAGTGAGTTTAGTTTTACGCCGCACTCAGCAATATTCGAGCTATATGACGGTGGTATGTAAATAATCGGGTCTTGACCAGACAATATAGAGATCAACAGCATGAATATATATATACGCAATTGGGATACCATGACGTGTCAACCAAGTCAGCGAGCCTGCCCACCAGATCCCGTTAGTCGCCTGTTACGACAAGCATGGGTTGCTGAATACCAATACTAACCCAGATCTTCACGGGTTGGACAACTTGGCCACTCACACCTACCTCAAGTCTGTATGTGAGTGTGTAGAGACCAGCAAACAGGAAGAGGGAAGATATGTAGCTCTGTGCCAGGACGAAGGCCGTAACTCGACGCCTCAGCAACAACTTAGCCAGCAACACTATAACCAAGAGACATTAGGATGATGCAGTTGTTTCATACATGAACACTTAAACCATGAGATTATAGGGAATAGAACATATAGAACATAGCATCAGAGTGAGGGCGTATTTCAGAATGAGGCTGTTCGTCAGAGTGAGGCTGAAACAGGAAATGATTGAAAGTTGATTGAAGGAGTCAGGCAATGGCATATTTCAGTTTTTGTAGTTCTTTCATTGTATGCACACACAAGATAATGTGGCAGGGAACTGTCCAATTACACTTCATCCAGTTTAAGATACTGTTTGTTGGAGAACAAGTTCTACATATCAAACATTGAGTATGCCTTGGAATGAACACTAAAGCTTCCCAAGTGGAGTAGGCATGCCCGGAAACCTGTACTCATACTGACAAATATGTCCCCATCTTCACAAGGGAGATAACTGACTGTAAAATTCTCAAATCCTTGCCTCAAATCCTAGAATTTTATTAGGGCTGGATGTTGCCCTGATTCTCATATTGCTATGTATTGCAATAATTTAAGAGATATTGCAATACACATTGTGATATATTGACATCATAAATTCATAATAGCTCTCTGTGTGCGACATCATCTTCTTAGTTGCTGTTACACCATACTTTCAGGCTCCCCGTCCCCATTGAGTATGGATGTATGCAAATGGTTTACAGAAAAATAAAATGATATAGAGCCTTAATATGGAATTGCAACAAATGATAAATGTGGGAGTATGATATGATTTTCTTGGTCAGTGTTGTTTGCTTCAACAGTATGTAATCATTGTTACTGTATGTCAGTGATTCATTCAGATTCGACCCGTGAAGATCCGGGGTAGAACAGGTCTTCAGCAACCCATGTGCTTGCCATAAAAAGGCGACTATCTTGTCGTAAGAGGCAACTAACGAGATCGGGTGGTCAGTTTCGCTGACTTGGTTGGCACATGTCATCGGTTCCCAATTGCGCAGATCGATGCTCATGCTGTTGATCACTGCATTGTCTGGTCCAGACTCGATTATTTACAGACCGCCGCCATATAGCTGGAATATTGCTGAGTGCGGCGTAAAACTAAACTCACTCACTCACTCACTCATTCAGATTCAACTCCAATATAAACATGTGTTAACATGAACTATTGCAAAATTAAACAAAAACATGATTTAGTTTAGCTTATTTGAGCTTAAAATCGCATGTGACCTCCAATAACTAAGATCCATGACTAGAATGTCTTTATACAGTCCTACAAAATTTATAACACTTAGACCTTTATGATGAATTGATGTCTTATGTCCCATTATGAAACAAACAAAAATAACAAAATACTGTGAATTGTGGAATGGTCACTCAGAGCCAGAGCCTCTACTGTAAGTCCAAATAGAAATCTTATCACTTGGAGACCACTTAATTCCTCCAAATGAAACCATTCAAACCCAGTAAACATAAAGCATTTGGTAGAATATTTGGCACTTTTGGAGCCACTTAAAAGACACTTCCACTTGTAAAATGTTACATGAAACCAACAGAAATAAAAGTATATTTGGCACGTTTAGAGCACATTTTTTTGCCATAGAAATCGAGGGCAGATAATTCAAAGGGAGCTAACTCTGGATGACCCAATACATTGCAGAATCTGAACCATATCCCGATAATCGTATCGCGAGATACTATACCGGTAATATTGCACAGCCCTAAATTTCATTGCTTGATGACAGCATCACCTGTGGCTATTATGAGTTATGTCTCTTCTATGTCTCTCCTAATGACCAGATTTTATCTCGCATATCACATACATCTGCTTCAAACAAAATAGCAGCACCAAGTAAAGATGATCTGATCACGTTTATCTAAAAGTTGTATATCTCAGACACCCTGTGCATGTGGATTGTAGCAGGACTTTAGCCTGCAATTAAGTTAGTGTGGAGTTACTGAGCCTTATGCATAGTCCAATCAAAACAAAGCACAAAATATCTATGGCAATATTGCTTCAGAAGAATAGCGCCATTGTAGCAGGGCATACATGCTAATGGGGTAAACCTCTTTGGTCACGTGGAATAAGCATGGTCTTTGGATCTGTAGGTCAGTGGTTCTAATTCTAGCACGGGACTCGGAATCTTAAAGTCGCTAGATAGTATATTGTATGTATTCTGCTGGCAGTGCCATCAGTCTGCTACTCACCGGACGTATACACAAGAGCTACCAGGTTCAACACCTGTAGCAGTATCATGGACGAAGCACTCTGAAAACAAACAGTATTCAAGATTACAGCAACAAAGAGACAGGTGATATACTACTCAACTTTTGGGTGGGATATTCAGATTTCCATGACAAGATAAAATGGTAAAACAGGTTTTTTCATGAAATATGTATTAGAAGGCTAATTGTGACCAATTTCAAAACTGAAATCTCGTCAAGAAAGTAAACAATTGAAATACATGTACTACATTCGGATGTTTTTCATGGCACCTGTGCTCAGGACCAATGAGAACAATGAATCTTATACAACAGACATTCATTGGGTGGCATTTTAGAAGTTGGGACGTACAATATGGATGACAACTTCTTCTATTATGAGGACATATCTGCTTGACAACGGTACAAGAATCTGTATCTGAATTGTATCGAAATGTCGCACTCCAGAAAAGAACAAGTTGTTATCCATAATGTTTGTTCAATATTTAACAGACATTATAGAACAACCTTAACGGATAGATGCTTGACATGGTACAAGAATCTGTATCGAAACGTCGCACTCACGAATAAAGAAGTTGTTATCCATAAAGTTTGTTCAATTTTAACAGACATTATAGAACAACCTTTACGGATAGATGCTTGGCACGGTACAAGAATCTGTATCGAAACGTCGCACTCACGAATAAAGAAGTTGTTCTCCATAAAGGTTGTTCTATATTGTACTTCTCAACTTCTAAAATGCCACTCAAAGAAGTTTTAACAGACATTCAGTACTGAATCTGAAAGGCACAATGTCACCCATTTTTGACAATATTTTGGCCTATATTACTATTCGCGGTGTATAAACCTAAAATGTTTTTTGAAAAGCATTAAAATAAAACCTGGCGAAATATAATACGTTTACAGTATATATATTGGGGGCATATGCACTCACTTTAGCTTCCTACTGATGCAATAAAAGACTTATTATACCTTACGACTTGCCTGAAATCGATAATCGAAACTTCCAGGCAAACAGCTTCCAAACAGTTCATACACTTGCGTAAATGATTGCTCTGTACATTGAAAACGATCACACACGGTGTTGTTGGTGTTTGCTGAACTGGTTACACTCACAAGTTGTGCGTAGGATATTCGTAAAGAACACTCCAAGGGACATAACTCTGTGGGGTTCGGTTGAAATAATGTTCAACCAGTAGAGGGCGCAAGTGTCGATTTAATGCAACGTTGCATTAATTAATTCAAACATTTTGATTTAATATTGTAATCTAAATACGTAATTTTGGGGAATAAATTTTTGGTAGCTTATCTGAATACTGATAGTTAGTATTATTGAGAGAAATGCATTATTAATTATTAGAGAAGTGTGGTGTGACATTGTGCCTTTAAATATTTGATTGTGAGTGCTTCAAGGAAGAATGTTTTTCAAAGAGCATACCACAATGATCACCACCTGGTCGTCCTTCCTGGGCCAGAAGTCAATCAGTGTAAGGATCACCAGATTCAAGGCCTGCAAGAAAAGCAACCAGTTACCATGGTTACTGTCACATATAACAGGAGCAGCTCATGTCAAAATGTATTTACCAATTTACTGGATGAGATAATCAGTTACATCATTCTGTGTCCTTGTTGTCTGCATATAGACATTAGTCAGTCTGACTGACTGAGTTTGGTTTTACGCCGCTTTTAGCAATATTCCAGCAACATCACGGCGGTGGACACCAGAAATGGGCTTCACGCATTGTGCCCATGTGGGGATTTGAACCCGGGTCTTCGGCATGATGAGCCAACGCTTTAACCATTAGGCTACCACACCGCCCCTGAGTCAGTCTGAACTTTCAAAGTTTCAGATTCCATTATAACAAAGGAACTGTTTAGCCGTATGCTAATTAGGTATAGTTTTATGGTTTTCAGCCTTTGAAATTCATGCTAGTCTGCTTGTAGTTGACATATTCAACTAATGAATGTTGTTTTATGCTGCATTCAGCAATATTCCAGCTACATGGAGGAGGTCTGTAAATAATCGAGTCTGGACCAGACAATCCAGTGATCAACAGCATGAGCATCAATCTATGCAATTGGGATACAATGTGTCAACCAAGTCAGCAAGTCAGCTACCTGACCACCCATACCAATTGGGATATGATGATCCTGTTAGCCTGATCACTCTATTCACCGACAAGCATGGGTTACTGAAGACCTAACCCGGATCTTCACGGGTCTTCAACTAATGAATCAAGCTACAGTATGGTTCCAGCTAGTCACCAAAATATTCAGGACTCTTAACAAAGTGCCTAAGGTAGACAAATTGGGAAATTTGTTGTTTTGGGTTTTTTTTAATTTAGATATTTAATTAGGCCAGATCAATTTTATTACTTGTTTTATGGATTTTTGTCCTCATAAAACCTAAAGGCAGGAGGAAAAAAAAACCCAAAAATAGAATCACCAGTCAAAGTAATATTCCTTCTAAATACTAAAAGTATTTTACTTTTGGCAATTTATGAAGTGTATATGAGGCAAAAAACAATCTAAAACAAATTGTCCTGTAAGTTTACATTTTTGGCCAACAAAAACATCAGGATTTTATTTTTTTGAGCGGGGTAAAATATATTTTTATTTTCTTTCTTATTCTTGAAAAAATATGACTGGCGGATCCATAAAACATGAAACAAACTTGGTCTGGCCTTACCTTCATAAATTAATAAGTATTTTAACAATGTGTTTTGAGGCTCCTTTCAAAAATGTAACATAAAACTAAGCATTAAAAATTCATTCTATTAATTGGTCTTGTTAACAGCAAAAAAAGTTGAAAAAAAGAGAAGTTATCTCAACAGAGTCACAAAATTAGTTCCTAGTGTATATTTTACACATAACTGAAAATCACTGTCAGAGCAGTACCAGATAAATCCATGTTTGTGCTCCCACAAGCTTTTTATTTAAGTTTAACAGTATTATCAACAGTACTGCAGTTATAGCACTAAATGCGATTGATGCCATCCTCTCACCTGGAGGACTATGGTAACTACAGAGATGTTTTTCGAGATCTTGGGGAAAACCTTTTGCTTGAGTACTCGAAAACATGGGGAACAGCGGTTGTTGTGCCTTCCCTGTCTCGCTCTCGTGATCTGTGACTGAGATTCCTGGAAAATCAGAAACATTCAAAGAATCGACAGCTAACCAATTTTCTTGTCTGGCCACACTTTTTGTTTTGTTTCATGGCATAAGAATTGTTAGTTGACCAGTAAGATTGGATGAACAGAATACATTTTTTGTGTGTATTTGTCTTAAAATTGAAACTGAATATAACTCAGAAAATGTAACCATAGTATTATTATATAGCATTAAACTAGTATTAAAATTGCTTTAATAAAAATGCTAATTTTGACTTTATTTTTATCTTTGTATTAAAATCCGGACATGGGCTTCATGGGCTTGTTTGGACATTATTTTTAATCAGCCATATCACAAAAGCTTCAAATTCACAAAGTTAATTATAAGATTTATTGAAACACACCTCAACATTGTCCAAGTAATGTAGGATTATCTCCCTTGTGGAGTCCAGGACACTGATCAGTTCATGTGCCTGCTCACAGCTGAGATATATACTGTCAGCACTGAAACAGAAATGAAGTGAGTGAGTGAGTATGGTTTTACACAGCTTTTAGCAATATTCCAGCAATATCACGGCAGGGGGACACCAGAAATGGGCTTCACACATAGTACCCATGTGGGGAATCAAACCAACAGGCTACCCCACTGCCCCGAGTGAATGAGTGAGTGAGTGAGTGAGTGCTGTCAAGTGAGTGAGTGAGTGGGTTTTGTTTGTTGTTTAAGCCATACTCAGCAACATTACAGACTGGTCGATATATGATAAAGATACATTTTATACGATATATATTTTAGTTTGCTATAACCGTATTTCGACTTAAATATACACCCGAAGAATAAAAACGCCCTGCTTGTTGTATCTGTCAGTTCGTTTTGTTTGTTTGTTCGTTGTTTAACGCCGCACTCAGCAATATTCCAGCTATATGACGGTGGTCTGTAAACAATCAATTCTGGACCAGACGATCCAGTGATCGACACCATGAGCATCAATCTACGCAATTAGGACAATGTGACATGTGTCAACCCAGTCAGTGAGCCTGACCACTCGATCTTGTTAATCGCCTGTTATAACAAGCATGGGTTATTGAAGACCAATTCTAGCCCACATCTTCACAGGTTCTGTATGCAGCTTAAAGCAATATTCTTTCATTCATGGGTCTGAGTGAGTGAGTGAGTGAGACTGACTGAGTGAGTGAGTGAGACTGACTGAGTGAGTAAGACTGTGAGTGAGTGATGCAATGCCTCACATCAAATTCTGGTGCTTTGGAACATTGAGCCACTCATACCTTCATTTGACTAATATATACATATTAATACACAAAAATATTATTAAAAAATACATGAAGATTATACTGAACCAGTGAATATATTCAAAGGAAAGACTAAGAAAAGCCTATCCCAAACCTGTCCATGTTAAAACCACTATATCTCGGTATTCCAACTTCCTCTCCAGTTACACGCAGACAGCCTGGAGGTGTACACTTTGACCTGGTATCTCACCGTGTGTGATAACTGCTGGTTTGATATGACAGATATACCACTGACCAGGGTACACTACTACCCACCACAGACAGTGATAGGTCAAGAAGTCCTCATATTTCACTATGTATACTTGATCATACATCAGCGACAGATATGGTTCGATAACAATGTACGTGCTGCAGTACTCATTATCATATTTTAAGCTATCAAGTTATCACATACCTGTTATCACTCCCCCTCCCTGCCCCCTTCCGCCACCCAAAAAAAATATGGATAATAAGAACTGATATCTCAAGTGCTTGCTGTTCATCGACAGGTGCTCACTGACATTATGACAAAGTTGAAACCACATATCCACATGGTCCGTCTCACAGTCCCTGATCCCTACTGCCTAGCTCTCCATGCAGTGCTAAACCCTGAATGAAGCAAATCTAGATTTCCTGAGGTTCAGGTGAATTTCTCATCTAACTGGGGCTCCTTTTCAATTTGAATGTTACAATCAAAGTGAGTGAGTTTTGGTTTAACTTTAAGCCACTTGTAGCAATATTCCAGCAATATCACTACAACATCTGGGGACACCAGAAATGGGCTTCACACATTGTACAATTGTGGGGAATCGAATCTGGGTCTTCAGCGTGGAGTGCGAATGCATTAACCTCTAGGTTACCCCACCACCCAGTTACTATCAAAATTACATATATTCAGAGACTTATATCCACACTATCCTGAAAGTCTAGTGAAATGCTGAGTGAAAGAGGTGAGTATTTAGGAAAGACTTGTGTACATTGTATTAGGTATGGACCCAACAAATGGGTGATTTGCTGTCAGTGGGCCAGTGGATGAGCAAGTGAGGTTTTATGCCACATAAAGCAAAATTCAACCAATATCACACTCTGTTCATAGCAAAGGGCACTGGAACCAAAGAACATGGATTTCAAACACTTTGTCAGACTAACAAACTGGTGTGCTAGACTTGCCTCTTTAAGGGATAGAATTACAATACATCCGTGAGAAAAGCACTCAGTACAGCCTTGGAGCAAGGCTATCTTACCCCAGTCACGGCCTGGCAATAAGGGATCTAATGACAGGGGGGACGGTGGGGTAGCCTAGTGGTTAAAGCGTTGGCTCATCACGCCGAAGACCCGGGTTCGAATCCCCACATGGGTACAATTCGTGAATCCCATTTCTGGTGTCCCCTGCCATGATATTGCTGGGATATTGCTAAAAGCGGCATAAAACTAAACTCACTCACTCTATCTAATAGTAAAAGGGACAAGGAAATGAAACAAATTCTTCCTGAATTTGGCCAGTCTTAGATTGTGTTTAAATTGATTTGTGTTTATTTTAAAACCATGTTGACATGGTGAAACATTTAAACATGTAAGGCCCAATCCTGAAGACTTGCATTCTGTATTAATACACACTGTAACACAGACCTCAGCAGTATATATACACACTGTAACACAGACCTCAGCCGTATATATACACACTGTAACACAGACCTCAGCAGTATATATATACACTGTAACACAGACCTCAGCAGTATATATATATACTGTAACAGACCTCAGCAGTATATATACACACTGTAACACAGACCTCAGCAGTATATATACACACTGTAACACAGACCTCAGCAGTATATATATACACTGTAACACAGACCTCAGCAGTATATATACACACTGTAACACAGACCTCAGCAGTATATATACACACTGTAACACAGACCTCAGCAGTATATATATACACTGTAACACAGACCTCAGCAGTATATATACACACTGTAACACAGACCTCAGCAGTATATATATACACTGTAACACAGACCTCAGTAGTATATATATATACTGTAACACAGACCTCAGTAGTATATATACACTGTAACACAGACCTCAGCAGTATATATATACACTGTAACACAGACCTGTATATATATACACTGTAACAGACCTCAGCAGACCTCAGCAGTATATATATACACTGTAACACAGACCTCAGCAGTATATATATATACTGTAACACAGACCTCAGCAGTATATATACACTGTAACACAGACCTCAGCAGTATATAAACACACTGTAACACAGACCTCAGCAGTATATATACACTGTAACACAGACCTCAGCAGTATATATACACACTGTAACACAGACCTCAGCAGTACATATATATACACTGTAACACAGACCTCAGCAGTATATATACACACTGTAACACAGACCTCAGCATATATATACACTGTAACACAGACCTCAGCAGTATATATACACACATACTTGTGGATATAATTCGGGTACAGTTACAGAGATAACTGACCTGATATGATCCAATACAAACAGGATCAAGGTTATGTGTTGAGGTTCTGTTATGACACTTGACATCGCTTACCTAACACCGATAATGGTTACAAACACTTACCAGGGCATGTGGAATGTGGTTTGGTGTACTGATATGACAATAATCGTGGTCAGGTTAACAATTAGAGTAACAAGGCTCTGCAGCTCACCTCCATAAAGTGAGTGAGTGAGTATGGTTTTATTCCGCTTTTAGCAATACTCATGGTGGGGAGTGAATGAGAATGAGTGAGTGAGTGAGTGAAGAAATGGACTTTGTACCCATTCTACCCATCTGAGGAATCGAACCTGGGACTTTGGAATGACGAACAATGCTTTAACCACTAGGCTACCCCGATTGTATAATGAAATATATGCAGGTGTAACCAAAGCTTTTTTTGTCTTGTCCAGTGACAAGATACCAGCATGAAGACACTTGTTAAAACCCTTTTGTAATATGGGCCATGGCCTTGAATACTCGAAATAAATTGTCAGTCTGTCTGTAACCATGGTGACCAGAGATCAATAGTGTGGGAAACATGGTGAAGCAAAGTGAATGCAATACATCCTTCGAAAACCAACTGATTTTTGTAACACTGTTCACTGCATAAGTGCCAATCATGATTCTCAAACAAACTTGAATGTGTATTTCCTTATGACCATCCACCAGGGCTTTATTTAAAGGGGCACTGACTTATGGCTTCTGCCATGAGACTACTTGTTAGCCAACACAACAGAAGGGGACATGAGACTTAGCTACATTTGTGAGGACACTGGTAACCATGGTAACTTTGAGTTGGTTGGTTGGTTTGTTGTTTAAATCCACACTCAGCGATATTCCAGCTATATGGCAACCGTCTGTAAATAATCCAGTGATCAACAGCATGAGCATCAGTCAAAGCATTTGGGATATGATGACATACGTCAACCAGGTCTGATGTGGTAAAGCAGAGCAGGTGAGTTAAAAAATATAGATTAAAAGATTAACCAGTAATACGATAGTCAATTACTCACTGTTATCTTGCACAGTGGATTTGTCAACGGTTTGTGTTCATGCATGTGGGTTTTTTAATGCAGACAGAAATACCCACATCCTGTCATTAAGTGCCCGTGTAAAAATAACATCCTTTGTTTAAAGGATCAGCTAATAACATGTTGATTGATTGCTCATTGTTGTTGACCTAAATGAACCACAGACATCATGAAAATAGTTGTCAGGTGTGTTCTTTCGACTGTCCAATGGGGCAAGAGTGAAAAACCAGAAACAAAGTCATGTGAACAGTTGCAAAACTACGAGTTATAATATCTCAAATGTTATATAATTTACAATATTAGATTGACATTTAACACGTTTCTTTGTCATTTAAAGATGGATGGGATGTTGTTTCTTTATGTTATATTGATCGGTACATTCCTTTTACAAGGTAACTGCCGGATATTTTAGATTGTTAAAAGACGTGTGACATGGAACATATTTCTTTGTCAGTTGCAGATGGATGGGCTATTGTTCCCTCATATGGATATTGATGCATACATTCCTTGAACGAGATTTTCCATGTAACTTTCGTTGGTTGTAATTGGCAATATTTGCTTTTTTTGCCCATTCAATTGTTGTACCACTGAACTGAATCGTTTCACTTAATTTTTGTTGATGCAAGACACACAACACAATACTTAGGTTAGTCTTAAGTAAGCCGTGCTGAATCAGGTGGTCAGGCTCGCTGACTTGGTTGACACATGTCATCGTATCCCAGTTGCGTAGATCGATGCTCATGCTGTTGATCACTGGATTGTCTGGTCCAGGCTTGATTATTTACAGACCCATGCCATACACATTAAGCTGGAATATTGCTGAGTGCGGCTTTAAACAACAACAAACCAACCAACCAACACAACACAAAGTTGTCATTTTCACAAGCCTTTTCGTTATAGGCGTGATGTGAAAATATTATTCCCTTAGGGTTTTGTATAATGCTTAGATATTACAGCCATTGCAATAATTCAATAAAAAACAGATGGACAATAATTTTTATGAAGTTCCAAAGTGCAATATAAAAACATAAAAATAGACTAATTGTGCCAGGATTAGAAGCCAGGAACATAATGACATACAATGACTTCCTTTTTCTTCCAATCCTAGCAAATGTTTGGAATTGTTCTCAAAATAAACCAGATGGACTTAATCTGCAGCCTGTTTGTAAAGTAACTGCAACATTAAAGTTTCACAAAGTTCACTATATTTCTCAATTAATCCCCAGATGAAACTGTATTTTATATCTGTTGATCAATCAGAGGATACGCCCTTATACTATCAACTGACGCAGCAGTGGTAGCGAACATGATAAGAATTCTGGGATATCATAGCATCATCCACAGTGAAGTGACTGATTTGAGATATGGAAATGGTGATGTCATTTCACGAACAAAGTATTAATTACTAGGGCTGCGCAATATAACCGGTTTACCGGTATTTACCGGTTCAGACATGAAAACAATACGTACTACAATACGCTGATTGAAAACCGGTATTTTGACATGCATTCGGAAAACTTCAGTAACACTCGGAAATCTTCGGATATTTCTGTTTTTTTAATTGTTCTTTTCCCTGTTTCATTAGTGCCAAATGTTACTTACATTTTTATTTTGTCATGATTTAAAGTTTTTATAAAAGGTTAATCAATCATAGTGATTTTGTTGTGTTTTTGCTTTATAATCAAGCATTAACTCGATTATAAGTAGTTTGTGTTAAAAAAATAATCCTTGCAATATATTGCAATACATATCGCAATATATGCTTCCGCATCGCAATATATTGCAATATGAAAATTCTCTGCAATACCCACCCCTATTAATTACCCAGTTGAGATATAACACATAGGGAGATCGGGGATAACTACAGCTTGGATGACACTGTCAATGAAACTTAAAACATCTGTCTGAGCATATATGAAATCAAGCTGTACTGACTAGCGACAGTGATCACCGTGTAACAGTTATCGCCAACACATCAGTATCACACGTGCACAGTTCCGGTCAATTACAATTCCAGTACTTTTTCCCCATGGTATTTGACAACAATAAAGGACAGCAAAAGAAAATGCTTCACCTTAAGTTATATAAAAGAAAACTGAAATGAAAAATGTTAATCAAACTATCTGCATGCTTTTGGTCATCAAAAGAGGGATGAGTGAGTGAAAGCTGGGTTGGACTTAACTAAACTTTGACCAGTACATCACCAGGGTGTTTTTACTTTAAACAACACTTAATAATGAATTGTAGTCCATTCGGACAACAGAATCCCAGTGCATTCTTACATGACAATGGGATTCGAACTTATAATCATTAAACAGTCTTGGGCCTCGTGTAACTGTAAACATCTTCGAACAATAAACATTTCCGAAATTCTGTAACTCTTGTGTTTGAACATGACTGACTGACTGACTGACTGACTGACTGAGTTTGGTTTTACGCCGCTTTTAGCAATATTCCAGCAACATCACGGCGGGGGACACCAGAAATGGGCTTCACACATTGTACCCATGTGGGGTAAAGCCAACGCTTTAACCACTAGGCTACCCCACCGCCCCTGTTTGAACATGACAGCATCAAGTATCATATATACTGCAAGCGTGTAGTAACGGTACAACTTCCACCAACACAACATGCATGATGTGAGCGAACGGCACCGTCCTTGACTACAGTACAGTATCGATACAGCAAGCAGTACAGTACAGCAAGATTACCACAGCGGGAGCGTGTATCAAGCACCTGTTGCCTGTCAACAGGGATCGTTCCTGCTTTTCATGGCCCCCTCACAGGCACTTTGCCTACCTGTAGAATGTAGAGTGACCATGCTTAGCCCCTTGCGCCATGTCGCTACTCTCAAACTCGACATCGGCCGCGTGATCCCAAAGAAGTTCTGTGTCGTCCGCCATTTTGACTGTTTACATCGTCACATGACACATTTTCACCGGAAATCGAAAGTTGGTCGCGAACCTGGAGCGACTGTTCAACTTTCGATTATGCTTTAAGACAGGAACTAAATTATGTGTGTGTAACTCATGAGTTTAAAATAATATTTCTGTATTTGAATGCAGAATATAAACTTTCAATATCATGTTAAACACCAGAAAAACTGCTGAATGCCAGTATAATATCTATTTAAATTCAAAGACTAGAATCTATATACATTTTAAGAAAATACCAAGATTTATGAAGTCTGTGATATTTAAACATAAAGCTAAAATCCGCATTCGTTTCACTGATTCAATTACCGCATTGGTTATTACAATGCACACGCATGTAAATTACCATAGGTCTAAAGGTTATAGATTGGCTGTGTATGACGTCACTATTTATACATTATATGTTATTGAGCATGCGGAGAAATCAATAACTACGAGAATCCGAGGCAAAACGACACAATTAACCATATTTCAAATGTTCAGCATCACTCGTAGCCGTATGCATATGACAGTGGTGGACTCCAGATATTTGATTGACATATTGTACACATGGAGAATCGAACCCACCAGACTAAGCAGTCCTCCTTTTAGTTTATGGGGCGGTGGGTAGGCCAGTGGTTAAAGCGTTCGCTCGTCACGCCGAAAACCCGGGTTCGATTTCCCACTTGGGTACAATAATTGGTGTCCCCCGCCATGATTGTTGGAATATTGCTAAAAGCCGCATAAAGTCCTACTCACTCACTCACTCCATTTATTGTGTTAGGCGTCGAAATGTGTTATGCTGAGTTGGAACCCATTAGGGACCGTTCATAATTTATGGCTAGTGTGTGTGTGTGTGTGTGTGTGTGTGTGTGTGTGTGTGTGTGTGTGTGTGATATGATTTTTATGGAGAAGCATGTACAATGTGAATGACACCCCCTAAAGTTTATGTACAAAGTAAGTGACCCTCCTGCTTGTCATGCACAAAATCAATTACCCCTAAGTTTTAAGCATAATTTTAAAATATTTTGATGTACAAAATTGCTGCCCCCACCCCAAGTGCATGTGTACAAAATTGCTGATCCCCTTACATCCCCAGAATAAAATGGGTGGCCCCGCTAAAAACATCACTCCTCCCCACCCCAAAAAAGAAAAAAAAGAAAAAAAAAAAAGCCATAAATTATGAATGGTCCCTTATAACGACTGGCGGTATGATCTAGCATGACTTCCGGTTGGCTTTGATCAAGTTTCTGTGTGTTTCAGCTCCATAACCCGTGCTTGTGGGTTTCACCAGAGAAGTTAAGTCCAAGTTGAGCATCATATTTGGGATTTTTGGAAATGACCAATGGACGGTTTCCAGACGAAAACTGTAAGTTCCTTTTTGCAAAATCATCTTCCTGACAAGGCCTTTCGTTGATATATCAACATAAACTATTAACACTTTTTAGCAAATTTAAATGACTTAGTCCGTCGGAATACAGATCGGCCGGTAATATTCTTATTTTACTTTTGAGTGTAATCGTTCATTTGAGGTCAAAATGATTTGTTTTCTGAAAAAAAGGTCAGGTGTAGTCAGGTCCAATCTTTGACCCTTAGCTACTAAACGGTTTGATATAAATATCATATGGTCGTGGTGATTGCAGATTCAGCGGGGTCGTGGCCTAGTGGTTAAAGCGTTCGCTCGTCACGCAGAGGACCCGGGTTCGACTCGCCACGTGGGTACAATGTCTGAAGCCCATTGCCGGTGTCCCCGCCGTGATATTTGCTGGAATATTGCTAAAAGCGGCGTAAAACTAAAATCACCCACACTCAGTTGTGATTGCAACAAACAAATAAATCAATTTGCTTTGGTCATAGATGTGCTTTGGTTTGCCTCAGTGAGTGGAATTTGTAACAGAATTTTATTTTCTTGTTTAAAGAATGCGATGGTTTTTTTCCTGACTTGTCGTGCACTTAATTCCACAAAAGGAGACAAGCACGGTGTAAAGGGGACCTGTTGTGTCTCGTATACATAAACAAAACGATACATTCATCAGGTACTTTGGACCTGTTCTGCTCAATATTCCCGAATTTAATATGAGACGTTCATTAACTACACGGGGCGTTTTCTGGCCCGTGGTCATAGAAAGGAGGGACCCGTGAAGATCCGGGTTAGAATTGATCTTCAGTAACCCATGCTTGTCGTAAAAGGCGACTAACGGGATCGGGTGGTCAGGGTCGCTGACTTGGTTCACACATGTCATCGGTTCCCAGTTGAGTAGATCGATGCTCATGCTTTTGCTCACTGGATTGTCTGGTCCTGACTCGATTATGTACAGACCGCCGCCATATAGCTGGGACATTGCTGAGTGCGGCGTAAAACTAAACTTACTCACTCACTCATAGAAAGGAGGGACCCTAGAAGTCCCTCAAAGAAAAAAGTACAGGACCATGCAGGGCACGGTTTCACAAAGCGATCATAGCGCTAAGGAGATCGTAACTCCAATACGTTAACAAAGGCTTACGATTGTCGTAGAGCTAAGATCGCTTTATGGAACAGGCAGCAGAACATCAAAGGAGGTTAGGCTACAGTAAACTTCGGCTATAACGAAGACAAAGGAACCACCTATTCCAGTTCGATATAACCGTAGTTGGTTATTCGTATTTCGACTAAAATATACATCCGAAACATAAAGTTTCACTTATTTTAGTTCGTCAGTTCGTTATGTTCGTTTGTTGTTTTACGCCGCACTCAGTAATACTCAAGCTATACGGCGGCGGTCTGTAAATAATCGATCTAGACCAGACAATCAAGTGATTAACAACATGGCATCGATCTACGCTGTTGGAATACGATGACATGTGTCAACCAAGTCAGCGAACCTGACCACCCGATCCCGTTAGTCGCCTCTTCCGACAAGCATGGGTTACTGAAGACCAATTCTAACCCGGATCGGGGCGGTGGGGTAGCCTAGTGGTTAAAGCGTTCGCTCGTCACGCCAAAGACCCGGGTTCGAATCCTCACATGGATACATTGTGTGAAGCTCATTTCTGGTGTCCCCCGCCGTTATATTGCTGGAATATTGCTAAAAGCGGCGTAAAACCAAACTCACTCACTCACTCTAACCCGGATCTTCACGAGTCCAGTTCGTTATAAGCATGTTCTGTGTATGCGTAATTTACTGCTCATGATGTCAGAGAACATAACACATCCTGTACGATACGACAGTTTATTCCGTACAAACACCTGTAGCGTTCTTTACGTCTATATCCCTTGTAAAGAACACTGAACCTGTAAAGTAAGTCTGCTGATCAACACAGATTATGTACAGACATCAACACAGATACAACACAGAGTTATGTCATTGTATTATCTTACATGTACCAAACTAGAGTGTAACGTTTTGATAAATTTCTACGAACAGGGGGTGTACCACGTCGTCATAGCAACAGTTTGCATTCGTTGTCGTCATTCTTAGGGGGTGAGTGAGTGTGGTTTTACGCCACTGTTAGCAATGTTCCAGCAATATTACGGCGGGTTACTCTAGAAACGAGCTTAACACATAGTACCCATGTGGGGAATCGAACCCGGGTCTTCTGTGTGATGAGCGAACGCTTTAACCACTAGGCTATCACAACGCCCCCATCATATTGAGGTATAGGGGTAGAACAGTGGTTAAAACGTCGACCTGGGTTCGATTCCCCACATGGGTACAATGTGTGAAGCCCATTCCTGGTGTCCCCCGCGGTGATATTGCTGGAATATTGCTAAAAGCGGCTTCACATCAAATCATAACCACTGGGCCTACCAGCCTTTAGGTACTGGTCGCTGGCCTCCTTGTTTAGAAATGCTATTCGAACAGTTTTCGATAGTGTCATGGAGCTAACTAAATTTAGTTATATTTCAAGTTGAAAGCAAAGTGCACCCTCGGGTATCCAGTGAAATGTATCTCCATTCTATAACAGCGTTCCATGAAAATCGTTCGGGAGCTCACATCTCTTTCAACTTCACATAGAATCTCTCTCGCTTGTTGGAGTTATTTGATTGGACGGCTATTTTTAGCATCGTCTCATTTGATTGACTGACTGAGCTTTAGTTTTACGCCGCTTTTAGCAACATTCCAGCAAATATCACGGCGGGTGACACCAGATGTGGGCTTCACACATTGTGCCCATGTGGGGAATCGAACCCGGGTCTTCTGCGTGACGAGCGAACACTTTAACCACTAGGCTACCCCACCGCCACCGTGTCATTTGAATATGACTCAAAACAAAGGTGTGATCGCAAACAGGTCCAGGGCATTTATAACAACAGAATGGATAGAGAGTGCACTGGATAACTGAGGGTGGTGAAAGGTTATTTTACGCCCCTTCGTTAACAACCACATGCATGTCGGGCTTAGGGCAAGGACCATACATTCTGGCGATTATTATTATCATTACTGGCAAAATATAAACCAATGTTAATTGCTCCCTGGGCTGTTTGGTCTTAGCTCATTCATACGTAAGATTATGATCTAGTCCAGACAAACAAATACATAAGTCTCAGTCCAAGTATACTATAGAAGTCCTCTACAAAAGCAAAAGCACACCGTATCTACTGAACAAAACGTTAATAAACGTAATATATACACCACAAGGCTGTATATTTTGAAACTAGATTATTGGATACAAGAGTACTCCTAGAGTACCTGAACCCGCGAAATGCATTGAATAATTAGAGAATAGACACCATCAGGGGAGTGGACTTTATTATTTATTGACAATGGAGATCATCCAATCTTACTTTTTGTCATGTCGCTAAAAATATACGCCCGAAATGTCAGACCTACAAAGATATATTTCGCTGAAGATTGAGTGGTTGGTTTTGCCCTTAAGCAGCCGCTGAGACAGAATGCCAGTCTACGCAGAAGATGGCGTATGTTCAACGTCACACCAATGTCGTAAATTTACATTACGTCATCACTTGTTTGTGTAACGTCGTTCAAACAACTGCTTGAGTAAGCTGGTTCCCGGCCCCCTTTGCGCGCGCTAACTTTCCATATGCGAGACGGGGCCCAGCTTACTGTTTGAGCTGTTGTCATTTTTTCAGAATGACGTCAATGGGTAATATGCATTCTATCCATAACTCGGATTGCTGATTAATTTTGCAGTTTTCATTTTCCACTATTTTTATAATAATGTTTTCCATATTCACAAGAACTTATCTCGGCTTATAATAACACGTCCAACCGATGAACAACATGAATAGCATCAGACAAAGGAAATATTCTCCAGAAACAAGTATTTTCATAAAACCAATAACCAACAGATATAAACAAAAACAGAAACAGTGACAAGTTATACCAACAATAAACTCACGTGACGTACATGTATATTATCACATATGACAATAACATGTTCTACAAAGATATCAGAACGGACACATCAATAGTACCAAATAATATCAACATATACTGATGAACAAAAATAAGGGAACGGCAGTTAAGTCAGTATATACCTCTCCGATTATGTGGCGATATAAGCCACATATATTTCACTTTCAGTCTTAATAATGTCGATATGAAGCTTTTGTTGCTGCGAAACTATGTGTTCCGTTACTTAATTTCAACAGTATATGTATATATAATATACATATTGTCATCTTCTTGTTCCTTTGTTTCCTTGTCTTGTATTCTAAATTGATGCACTGTTTATATTCGATATATAAGAAACATATCATCCACATTAATGCCACTTGTCAATATAGTGACTCCACATATGGAATCTCAATTATCCATTGAATTGTTCACATTCACAGTGTTTGTTCTGTTTTAATATCCAGGTTTCACAACACACGATGTCCATGTAGATGTGAACCAATCACATTGCGTCAACTTTCAACCAATCAGACTGCTCCATGTCATAGCCAATCACCACACGCCACATTTCTTGTCCGGATTCATCTCTGTTTGGGGAGTACATTTAAAAGCATCTCTGAAGTAGTCCGAATTTGACACAGTACCGATAACCCTGCAACATAGTAGAAACATACATCAGTGAGAGGGTGAGTTTATTTTTACGCCGCTTTTAGCAATATTCCTGCATTATCACGGCGGGGGACACATGAAATGGACTTCACACATTGTACGCATGTGGCGAATCGAACCCAGGTCTTCAGCGTGACCAGCGAACGCTTTAACAACTAGGCTACCCCACCGCCCTTCATGACCAAAGAGATTGACAACGAGGATATAGAGGATAACAACAGTCTGATAGGGATGGCAACCCCCACACTAACAGAACCACACCCTTTGATCCCATGTCACCAGCTGCAGGTCACACGTTAAGATCCCCGTTAAAATGGCTTCAGCAATCCATGCTTGTAGTCACAGTCAACTATGAGGATCGGATGGTCAGGCTGTATTAGTCATCGTATGCATGTATAGATCGATTCTCGTTATGACAATCACTGGATTGTCTGATCCTGACTCGATGGTTTACGGACCAGCATCACAAAGCTGGAATATGTGCGGCGTTAAACAACAAACAAAACAAACATATTTCATATTCCGGTAGATTCTGATAAAGACACTGATAAATGAAGCTGAAATGTCTGTCTCACCTGAATTTGGAGGGACTGTGTGGGTCTGTGATGATCTGGTTGTGAAGAGCCGCATCAGTGCTCAGTGAACACCATCCCTGCAAAACATTCACGTTAAAGAAATCTTACTCATCTCTTATTCATGTTCCTGACCAATCTGAACCCTGTGGACGTTTTCAAAGAAGATCTAATTCAGCGAGTGTTTGGAATCTAAACATGGTCAAAGAATGGAGGACATTTTTGTTTATGAATGAAATGTAGACTAGACATTACCACCATAATTTTAGCATCCATTACCTGAGCAAAGTTGACGAAGAACAGCTGCTCGTGAGATAGTTCCAAACCCGGAAGTGGTGGTTCCTCCCCATTTTCCGACACCCACTTCCGGTAAGCCTGAAACAGATAATGACATATCGATGTCATTCGACACTTTACGCTCCAATCCGTAACCTGCAAGAAGACTGCTGTATCAGCCATCGTTATGTGTATTATTACGACAAACCAAAGAAAATGATTACGAGGTCAAAGCAACTGATTCAGGACTGCCATTGTCGAGATATACGCGTTGACACTAGCATAAGTTCTTTAGTCCAGGCATTCCTTCCTCCCACAGGGTTACACAGAGAAAACCCACCAATCTGACAGGCTGTACCCACCTCGAAGGATGCCTTGATGCCACCATTGTCCGCCATATTTTCTCCAAGAGTCATCTTACCATTCACCTGCAATGCCATGTTTATCAAACTGAAGGAGGCGGCATCGTAAAGGATAAAGCAGAGAAAACTAGGAACTATTGTTAAAACATTTTGAGCATTAGTTTGAACATTCATTGACTCACCATTAAGTTCACAAGGGACTGATAATGTCATATTTAAAACCGTGAAGGTTATTTTAAAGGATGACGTAATTCCTGAGATTTTCCTTATTTCCTTAGAACAAGGAAGTTCAAGGATAGCGTACATGCCGGGAATTGTCAAGGGTAACCTAATTCCTTCAGAGGGTACTCACGTGATCTCCGTTGATGGAAAAGCTGGAGTACTGGTCCACTAAACACTTGGCCAGACTGGTGAACTTCGTCAAAGAGGAGTTGGTCCACCACTGATGGAAGTTCCCCACCATGTCGTACTGGCGACCTGCAAACAAAGTGAGTGAGTGTGTTGGGTTCAAAGCCACCCTTAACAGTAGTATCAGGACAAAATCACACGGTGTGGAGGGAAATCCCAAAGTGATGCTCTACTTAGGACTATCACTCTGGTGAATTCACGAGCAAAGGTTATGGTGCTGAAAAACACAGAAACGTGATCTAAGCCAACCGGAAGTCATGCAAGATCATACCGCCAATCGTTCTAAGGGGCGCAACTCTGCGCAACAAATTCCGACGCCTTATGCAACAAATGGAGTGTTGTTTGACACAAGACCCAAGAGCTGTCCCAGAGACAAACGATCTGTACAGCAGACACTGTACGCTTATGAATACATATTTCATATAAGACCCGTGAAGATCCGGGTTAGTATTGATCTTCAGTAACCCATGCTTGTTGTAAAAGGCGACTAACGGGATCGGGTGGTCAGGGTTGCTGACTTGGTTGACACATGCCATCGTATCCCAATTGCGTAGGTCGATGCTCATGCTGTTTGTCACTGAACTTAAAGACGGGAATATTGTTGAGTGCGCCGTTAAACAACATACAAAACAAACCATACTTCATATTCCTGAAGATTCTGATAAAGACATTAAGAAGCCACACCCTTGCCATTTCCAGCACATACAGTTTCAGGTGAGTGAGACATTAATGAATCACTTTAATCGTTCTTAAAACGTCTACAATACCTTCGTCATCAAAGCCGTGCGTGATTTCATGACCAATGACCATCCCAATCCCACCAAACACAAGTGACCTGGAACAGACACGAATTGAACATGAGTGAGTGAGTGAGTTAGCAATATTCCGACAATATCACGGCGGGGGACACCAGAAATGGGCTTCACGCATTGTGCCCATGTGGGGAATCGAACCCGCGTCTTTGGCGTGACGAGCGAACGTTTTAACCATGGGTGTATGACGGGGTACATGGGGGTATTACTGGGTTACTTACATGGGGTACTCCTTGCTGTAGAAGGGAGGCTGAAGAATAGCTGCTGGGAACGCTGGAAGTAGAGACGTATTGCAAGGTCATACAGGAACACAAAGACTGACTGAGTTTGGTTTTACGCCGCTTTTAGCAATATTCCAGCAACATCACGGCGGGGACACCAGAAATGGGCTTCACACATTGTACCCATGTGGGGATTCGAACCCGGGTCTTCGGCGTGACGAGCCAACGCTTTAACCATTAGGCTACCCCACCGCCCCAGGAACACAAAGAAAGCAAACTGTCTTACTTTCCGACAGTGGAAGGTTACCTCTGTCTTGTCTCACCGGATGTCAGGATAAATGATCCCAGGATAAATGATCCGAGACTTAATTCATGGATAGTCCTCGCTTTGATTCAGAAATAATTTCAACTTTGATTAGTACTAACTAAGATTTAAAGATAACCTTTTCCTTGATTCATGGATAAACCCGACCTCGATTTATCGATAATCACAGCTTTGATTCAGGGAAAATCCTAGCTTTGAGTCCTGACTGATTTATTTTAGTTATTGTGACAAAACACATTAAAATGAATTCAATTCAAATTTAATTTCTTTACAATGCAAAAACAAGAAGAAAAAACATTTTCTGAGGCTGGTGGTGAAGTTGCAACATACTGATGGAGTTTCTGTTGGGGCTGTAGAACGCGTTGACAATAGCTGGGGTCGTTGTCCACCTGAAACAAAGGCCATCACGTAAATTCATCGCCAGTAACAAATCACCGGATTATATGGCCCTGCTAATATATCTAGGTTTGTGTGCGCCATACTGGAAGTGAGTTCCTTAGGACTGCATTAATTCGGTAACTGCCACGCCGTGACGTAACTAACATATTGTCCCGAAGCCACGTAAACACCAACTTACTCACTCATTATCTCCTTATTTTGTCCCTCTCGCACGCACGCACGCACGTACGCGCGTATTCACTCATAAGCATTCCTGAATTCTATCATGAAAGGCCCTCCTGTCGCAGATCTAACACTGACGGCTTCAGAACATTGCCGCATTCACTCTCCCATGATATGCTTGACCAGGGTCCTGCCTAATCAATTTATTGAAATTATTGAAATTGATAACTACAAGCTTAGCTACATAATCATGACTGTGGAGTAGTCTCCCTTACTCTTCCCTGTCCACCAGGAGGCGCAGATAAAATGCGTTATCTCTGACGCGGTCCTTCAACAGCGTCAGAACGTTCTCAAAATAGGTCGTCTCGTTGAAAGAAACCTGGAAATATAAAGAAATATCAATATCAATATTATACAATTATTGACTTCTAGTGAGGTTGATCCAATGATTTATCGACCTTGGACATGTCATATTCACCAAGGCGAAGCCATTATATAGCGGAAATCTACCCGTCATATAATAAAAATTTTAACAAACATAATGTATCGTGAAGTGGGTATTTTTTGTACAGTTTTCACTACGAGAGTGTGAACAAAAATGAAGTCAATTTTTACGTTTCAGAAAAGGAATTCGGCAGACCAAGTGGAATAGATTGTGTAGAGCAGCGATTTATCTAAACCTGCTCAAATGTCGATAGACACTCCAAACTGTTGTTATATAATAAGTCTGTACGAATTTATGACTTTGTTTCCAATTTCCCTCCCGCTCTTAATTTTCATTCCGACATGAAATAATAGCCCGTTTTATTATCTAAATTTTCTCAGTCGTGGACATTTATACCAAGATGTGGTAAAACAATCATTGTTAGCCTTGCCTGGTGTGGTAACCATGGTAACCCTGACTCAAGAGTTGACATAGATTTCGTCACAGAAATACTACAGAAACACACAAAGTTCAGTTTCTTACATCACCATACTCGTCGTTGAGAACGGTGTCGTTCAGCATCTTGTCAGGGTAACCGATTTTCTCCAGTATTGCCTCTGCCTGAAACAGAACAATGTTCAGTATAATGAAGAGCTCTTAAACTAACATAAGGCCAAAGCGTTTGCTGGACACGCCGAGAATGGGTACAGCGTGTTTCTGTGTACCCCGTTTTTGTGTACCCCGCTCTGATATTGCTGGAATATTACTAAAAGCCACGTAAAACCATAATCACCATAAAACCAACACAGGGACCGTTCATAATTTATGGCTTTTATTATTTTTAAAAAAAAAAGGGGGGGAGAAAGAGATGATGATGACGATGATTTTGAGGGGGTGTCACCCATTTTGTTCTGGGGAGATAGGGGTGGGGTGTCACCAATTTTGTACACATGTACTACAGGTGCTGGTGGTTTTCACGTTAAAGACCTGCATCAGATCGGTTGTCCGGACAACAGGTAGTTCACACGCCTTGATACAACTAATGTAATTTCCATCCGTGAAGATGCGGATTAGAACTGGCCTCCAGCAGCCCATGCCCGGGGTAAGAGGCGACTGGTGGGATCGGGTGGGTTGATCGCTCTCTCACTCAGGTGTACCTTATGGAGGGCGTATTTCCGGGTCTGCTCGTCCATCCAAGTGGCCTTCCTCAGCAAGTTTTCAAAGGCTTCTCTCAGGTACCGGATCATAGTAACAGCCTGCAATAACATCAGTATCGACGCAATAATAATATACCACAATGCAGATATTTTACGAGCGCTTCATACGATAAAACAACAATTTTCCTTACCATACTGATAGCGGTATGTTTTCTCTAATTGTTTGAATGATCAGATTTATCAAGTCGTGTCAAGGAAACGACAATTAAAAAGGCATCTTTGTAATTTTCAATAAAAATTAGTAAAAGAATGTTTTGAGTTTGAAAGACCTTCCCCAGTGCTACTAGATGATTTCTTACATTTTGCTTGGCCTCTCTGTCGAAGTAGTTGTCGATGAAGAGTCTGCCCACGGCATCACCCATGTTGTTGTTGACGTAGTCCACGCACATCCGCCACTTTGGTGGCATGCGTTTGGTTCCGAATATCACCTGGAATCATGGGACTTGTGAGTGAGTGAGCGACGGGAGGACATGGTAAATTTAAATTGCACAGCCATATAGCGACGGGAGGACATTTTACATTCGTTAAAAACTCATACCATGAAAAGCAGTTTAACTGTACTGTGTCAAACTCTTTGGGTTCGAGGCAATTGGGGATTCGATTCATTAATTTCGACAGATGCGAACATAAAATATCACAGATATAGAAAAAGTTTTCAGGGACTGAGACGAAAACAACCGGGAATTCGACACTTCCGCGCTCTACACACAGCAGTTAAAAACAAATCAGTGCCTCTGGGGACTACAAGAAAAGCATAATATTTTTACACATATTCATAATTTACAAAACACATCAATTTAAATATTACAAAATTAAATGTCCGCAAGCATGGGTGGCCAGATTGTTCAGACTTGCTGCTCTATAATACACGCTTGCAACGTCCACGAAGTCAAACAAACGATGCTGGATTTACAGGAATGCCGCATTAAGCGGGGTATGCATTGAGGAGATCCATGATGACAAAATGTTACAAACAGTACAATCCCGTGAAGTACTAACGATGCAACTCAGGAGGCGATTCAAATGAGTAACGCGGAATATTCCACCTATTAGTGCACACATACAACCACGCACGCACGCACGCACGCACGCACGCACGCACGCACGCACGCACACAGAAGCATATCTACCAAATTCTCTCCACTGGTTGTGCCTCACCGATCGCCATTACCTGTATTAATTCAATTCAAATCCTGTCAACATCGTCATCACTTTATGTCAAATGTTATGGTTATTTTATTTCCCTTTGCCATGTATTCATATAATAACAACGATAAATATTCTAGTCTCAATATGTCTGAAACGTTGTTCACGTGACGTTATTGTTTAAATTCCGGTGGTGATTTTCCGAGCGCTTCCATTGGTTCTCATTTCGCTCTTGTCAGTCAGGCAATGTCTGTACATCGTCATGTACGTGCTCCCCAACCCTCCTCACCGTCACAGGGCTGTGGTGACCCCCGGCATCTGTGACGACAGTGCAGTGAACACTCACCTTGTTGTAGTCCCTCTGGCTGTCACGGATCCGCTCGTCCAGGTTGTTGACTCGGTTCATCATGATCCGCCACATCATGTAATTGACCACCGTCCTGTGTGGGACATTGTTACAAGACCATTACATGAAGAAGCTAATACAGAGACACTGCAGGGAGGGTGGGGCTACGGTGAGGGTGGGACAAGGGCTGGATGTTGGGGAAGGGCCCGAAAAAGAAGTAAAGGCGCATGTCTAAACCTAGACTTGCACAAGTTTCTAAGGTAATAGGTGAGGTGAGGTGAAATTGGATTTTACGTCGTACTCGAGAATATTTCGCTCATATGACGACGTGCATGCGTGTGTATGTGTAGGTGCGGCTGCTTGTACTAGCCCAGACTTAAGCTGGTTTTATAGTGCTAGTCCACTGAGATACCATGCCACAGTGAAGCATGAATACCCCACTCAGACACATTATACTGACTCCGAGCCGACCAGTCCTTGTTGTACCCATTAATGCCGAGCGCCAGGCAGGGACCAACAAGTACCATATTTTAACGTCTTTTGGTATGACGCGGTCGAAGATCGAACCCACGACCTTCCGCTCTCCAGGCGGACGCTCTAACCACCACACCACAGAGGCGGTCTTCTAAGGTAATAATTAATAGTTATGATAGTAAATGATAATTTCTATAAAAATAACAGTAATACGTAATAACAGACTGAGGTCCTTGTACTGTCCGCTTATCTAGACTTGCCTCTTTAAAGGACAGAATTAACATACATCCATGGGCTTGGCACTCAGTACAGCCTTGGAGCAAGCCTAGACCAAAACGTTCATACCATTTTGTCGAAACAAAAGAGCAGGTTTAAGGTGTTGACAAACGAATGGTCTTAATTAAATCAGGGACAAATAACCAGCAGATCCTGCTGCGGCAAAGGAGTGCAACTTCACAGCGATATATGTAGCTTAAGACACATGTCACCAGTGTGCGAAATAGGCACTGGCCCACTAGCCCGTGGCTTGTAAAAATCCAGTCGGGCAAGTAAATCTCCACAGTCACTGGCCCGACTGGCTATACTGAATTTTTATGGGGCCATTTTGTAAATATATCACTCTCTCCGACTTGATAAGTTATACTTCTTTGATGGGCATTTTAAAAGCTGAGTTGATGAAGAATAATGACAATTATTATGGATATACAACTTCTTTTATTCTGTGTACACTTGCTTGACAACGACTTTAGAATCTATGTCGAAACGTCGCCTCCACAGAATAAAAGAAGAAGTTATAATACACTTTTAAATCATGCAAGATAATGGCCGTGATGAAACCCGTGTCTACATTCAAATTTCGGGCTAGAGAATTATGTTGTTGGCTAGTAACTTTCAGGCATAGCTAGCCCGAAATATGGAAACTAGCAAAATATGGAAACTATTTCGCACACTGCATATCACCAGGTAATATAATGAGGGCAATGATAACTCACTTGTCTGACGTCTTCTGGATGACTTGAAGCATGTTCCTGATGTAGTCGGGCGTGTACACGACGACTTGCTCGGAGTCTGTGATGGTGTGGTTGAAGGGACCGAACATGCCCTTCAGATACCGTAGCCAGTCAAACTGAATGTAAACAGACAAGAGTGAGTGAGTGGGTGGGTTGGGTGAGTGAGTGAGTGTGGGTAGGTGGGTGGGTCGGTGGTTGAGTGGGCGGGTGGGTATGTGAGTGAGTGAGTGAATGAGTAGGTGGGTGAGTGAGTGAGTGAATGAGACACCTGAAATGGGTTTCATACACGGGTTAAACACATTGTATTGATGTGAGCAGTCAAGCCAGTCTATGGTGTCAGCGAACAAGTAAACACTAGGCCTAGGAGTGTTTGAGTGACATCACAGATGTTTTTCTGGATATCATCAAGGGAGATACCTACGATTACTTTTCTGATATCCTTATATTGCATTAATGATCTGATATCCATTCATTATTTCTCTGATATCCATTCATTATTTCTCTGATATCCATACATTTGATTTCTCTGATATCCATACATTTGTTTTCTCTGATATCCATTCATTATTTCTCTGATATCCATACATTTGTTTTCTCTGATATCCATTCATTATTTCTCTGATATCCATTCATTATTTCTCTGATATCCATTCAATATTTCTCTGATATCCATACATTTGTTTTCTCTGATATCCATTCATTATTTCTCTGATATCCATACATTTGTTTTCTCTGATATCCATTCATTATTTCTCTGATATCCATTCATTATTTCTCTGATATCCATTCATTATTTCTCTGATATCCATACATTTGTTTTCTCTGATATCCATTCATTATTTCTCTGATATCCATACATTTGTTTTCTCTGATATCCATTCATTATTTCTCTGATATCCATTCATTATTTCTCTGATATCCATTCAATATTTCTCTGATATCCATACATTTGTTTTCTCTGATATCCATTCATTATTTCTCTGATATCCATACATTTGTTTTCTCTGATATCCATTCATTATTTCTCTGATATCCATACATTTGTTTTCTCTGATATCCATTCACTACATCTCTGGACTTACCCCGGGAATCGAGTCTGTCAGTTCCTTGACGGTCATGCGATGGTACAGCTTGTCCATGTTTCTCCTCTCAGCCTGGGCCAGAGTCAGCTGGAATTGGAGGAAGAGGAATGAAAGTTGAGGGACACCAGAGATATACTATGTTGGTGGAAGTCCATGAACCAAGGCCCATAATCACAACACATGTAGCGTTCTCTGTTTAATCGTTCAGAACATGGCTAACAAATAATGAGAACCATCAGGTACGATTATCTGTACAATACAGTGGTGAAAAATGATGCGAGTTTATCACTGAAAATCCGTGATGACACCAGGTGTTCGCGAAACGTTAACTCGCTGGTCATCTTAGACGTGCGAAAAGAGTTTACACCTGTGCACGGCTCTTGCGTGAGGGAGCGAGCGAGTAAGGTTTCGCCCATCTTTTAGCAACATGCTAGCAATATTCCAGCAATATCACGGCGGGGTACATCAGAAATGGTCATTACATATTGTACCCTTGTGGGGAATCGAACCTAAGTCTTCAGTGAGACGGTCGAACGCTTTAACAGGTTAGGTACCCTATAGGGTACAGCGTAAAATTAAAACTGAAGTCAATTCTTAAGTATGATATACTAGTCAAAAGATCTTAATATAAGGTTCACCTTTTTCCTATTACTGTAGTTATTATGGCCTTCACGTTTGTAGCAGTCTTAACAATGGAGTAATGAGTTATACGTAAAACAGAAAGAACGCAAAATGATCACCTGATTCGTTCATGTTTCTAAAGTCAGTCTGTACATAACTTCTTATGAGAGAGTGAGTTTAGTTTTACGCCGCACTCAGCAATATTCCAGCTATATGGCGGCGGTCTGTAAATAATCAAGTCTGGACCAGACAATCCAGTGATCAGCATGACCATCGATCTGCGGATTTCGGATACGATGACATGTGTCAACCAAGCCAGCGAGCCTGACCACACGATCCCGTTAGTCGCCTCTACGACATGCATGAGTGAGTGCGTTTGGTTTAACCCTGCTTTAAACAGTATGGTATTTTTTTTGTTGTTTAACGCCGCATTCAGCATGGGTTACTGAAGATCAATATTCTAACCCGGACCTTTATGGGTTAACTGTTTATAAGAAGCATATGTACTGTACCGACAAAAAATAAGGGAACTGATGAAATGACAGTGAATGTGTAATTGCTCTTAATGTCCACAAAATCAATTTCGGGCGTGAAGTTCAATATCTGGTTTGTCCACCATGTTGGACGACACGTACACGACACCTTGATGGCGTTCTGTTGATTAACCTCCGGATGGTTGCCCGTGGTATTGCCCGCCATTCCGCCTGAAGAGCTACCCCAAGCTGGGTGCGGGGTCCCTTGCGTAGGCTACACCTTCCGGCCGAGAACGTCCTACAGATGCTCAACTGGGGACATATCTGGGGACTCTGAGGGTCAGTCCAATGTCTGTATGCCCTCTCGTTGGAGATAAGCGTGACGACTTGGGCCCGATGTGGTCTGGCATTATCATCTTGGAATTCAAACTTCCTGCCAATAATTCTAACCAGTGGGGCCACAACAAGACGCAATATTTCGTCAACATATCGCTGACCAGTCAATTGTCCATTAACGATGACCAGATCCGATCGCCTGCCATGTGTAATAGTACCCCACACCATGACACTACCGCCCCCATACCGATCATGGTGAATAATTGCCGCTCTGGCATACCGCTCACCGCTACGTCGCCAACGACGTTTTCTGCCGTCTGTGAGTGAGTGAGTTTAGTTTTACGCCGCACTCAGCAATATTCCAGCTATATGGTGACGGTCTGTAAATAATCGAGTCTGGACCAGACAATCCAGTGATCAACAGCATGAGCATCGATCTGCGCAATTGGGAACCGATGACATGTGTCAACCAAGTCAGCGAGCCTGACCACCCGATCCCGTTAGTCGCCTCTTACGACAAGCATGGGTTACTGAAGATCAATATTCTAACCCGGACCTTCACGGGTAATTCTGCCGTTTGGAACCGGAGGCAAAACCTTGACACATCCGAGAACATGATGTAACGCCAATGGCTCAAAGCCCGTCCCTGATGCTCCCTAGCCCAGACCAATCTTTGGTGCATATGGTGAGCTGTGATGGTGACACCCTTCACAGACCGCCTTGCTTTCAGAGGGGCTTGATAGAGTTGGTTCTTAACGGTTGATACGGGAATTCGTCGTCCAGTTATTGTACGGAATTCCTTATTGATAGCAGGTGCTGATTTGAATCTGTTGCGTAGGGCCATTAATGTACCACGCTCAGGCCTCATTGCAACCCCACCCATTTGACAGTACTTGTCCCACAGGCGTGAATTACACTTTTTGATTTACCCAACATTCGGGCAACTTGGCACAGTGGTGCTCCCCCCTCTATCATACCCACAATTCTCCATTTTGTCTGTCCATTGAGATATTGCCTCGGAGGCATTTTTCAGCGTGTGTTCACCTCAACTGCATTAGTGATTGTGAGTTCTCCAATAGGTGGACACAGTTTAGCTTCTGTGTGCACGTGCATCACGTGTTGTTCATGCATCATGTGGAATTTCATTGTGATTGGATGTTGCGTTCCGCTGCAACGCAACGGTATTGCACACGTCGACGCAACGTTAGCTGCATTCAAATTCTCAGTTCCCATATTGTTTGTCGGTAGCATGAATTTAACAATGGTGTGTTACGAATCACGCATAATATACATGTACTAAAGAAATGAATTCCTGATTCCTTCGTATTTCTATATGAAATATGTTCTTAACTTCTGTTGCGTAGTATATATGAGTTACTTCAAACGTAGCTACGTCTCTGCTACGGAGACCTGGCGCCCGTTTCACGAAGCTCTCGTAGGCCTAAGATCTCGTAGCATTCGTACTTCCTATACTGTAATATTGACTTACGATAGTCGTAGCGCTACGAGAGCTTTGTTAAACGGGGCCCTGCAGGTTAGGTTACTAACGTTAGCAATGGTGATTTCAAAGTCCACCATGTCCTTCATCTGCTGTTCAGCCTCTGTCCGGTCAGCTCCGAACAAGACGGCGACATCAGTGGCCAGGTTTTGGTACACCATGACGTGTTCATCGTTTCGCGGCTTGAGGTAGTAGTCACGTGACGGCATACCAAGCTGAGCCTGGTCAATCTGGGGAGAATACATACGTGAGTGAGTGAGTAAGGTAGTGATATAGTGAGTGAATGAATGAGTGAGCATGATTCTACGCCGCTTTTAACAATATTTCAGCAATATCACGGCGGGTGACACCAGAAATGCGCTTCGCACATTGTACCCATGTGGGGAGTCGAACCCGGGTCTTCGACGTGACGTGCGAACGCTTTAACCACTAGGCTACCCCACCGCCCCAGTGAACGAATGAGTGAGTGTTTAATGACTTCGCATTCAGATCGTAAATGATGTTTATAATACATGATGCATGAGCTCCCTAGATTTCAACAGGATATTCCAAAAAATAATTGTTTGCTTCTATTAAAATCATTTCTCTATCAAAATCATCATCTATTTTCAGAGATCAAGCGCAAGTCTAGGCACAGGATAATGTAAGCCAGTTCCACTGATCTTACCACAATGATATGGACAGAGGAGTTCTTGTCGTCGGGGGACACGCCGGTATCGATGAGGACCATGTTATTGTACAGGCCCAGCTTAATCAGGAGGTCAACAAAATTATATTTGGACTGATCCCACCCTCCCGCCACCGGCCAACCGCCGAGCTCACGGATCAATGCGTCTGTCACGTGAATTCCCTTCTTGGTGATCGTATCTGAAAAAGGTCATCGCGGCATGTCAACATATGGCATCATTGAGGGTACCAACAACTTCCGGGTCGCCGGATGACCTCTTGAGGAAGCCCGACATCCATGTGGCATGAGGGGGTGGTGTCAAGCGTATCTCAGGTCTGATTTACGAAGAGACCCGTCAGGTTTTCCGAATGCATGAAATGTTTATATCAAAGATGTCATTTTACATCTTTGATTCCTTCAAAGTGTGACATATTGATTAGACCTAATCTTGAGTGAGTGAGTTTGGTTTTACGCCGCGTTTTGCAATATTCCAGCAATATCAAGGCGAGGGACACCAGAATACGCGTAATCTGGTAATTCAAGCACCTTATATGAAAACCCCTGTCTAATTTACCCACGTTAGCTGACACGTGACTCAAGAGTGCTTAGACAAGATGCCAAGACAAATTTAGGGGTACATGTATACCAAATACACAGTGACATCAGAATCTTAGCAACTAGCATAGCAACCGGAATATACACAGGTTCCCAAATTTAGTTCCCTCTTAGAACTGTCAAATGGGTGTTGGGGGCATACGATAATTCCCATGTGGGTATTCTGTGCCTCCGAGAATATATGTCGATTTTGAACTAAAAATGCGATTTGTCTGTAAAGCATAGTATCTGTCAAGGTAGTAACTGACTGACTGACTGAGTTTGGTTTTACGCCGCTTTTAGCAATATTCCAGCAACATCACGGCGGGGGACACCAGAAATGGGCTTCACACATTGTACCCATGTGGGGATTCGAACCCGGGTCTTCGGCGTGACGAGCCAACGCTTTAACCATTAGGCTACCCCACCGCCCCGTCAAGGTAGTAACTTTAAGAACATATTGACATGAGTATGAGAATTAATGATAGGAAGCTTCTTGTAATCTGTTAATAAATAGAGACGGCGATCAGTGAATAGGTTTATTTGACAAACAGAACCTCATCAATATCTACAATTTAAAACAGAATCGAACGTTTTGTAATTGTATTCTCAATCCTTCGATTTTACTTAATGCGCTTTTAAAGAAGACGGATTGGGCTTGTATAAAGCTGTGGAAGGGTTGATCGAGGTGGTTACATTAGAAATTAATTTAAGGAAGAACTGGTTTTCCTTTAAATCAGTTGCAAAAGGAAATCTGTTTAATCATGTAACAATCAGTGGTTGTATTCACCTTCATCGATGCAAGACTTGTACATGACCTTGACCTTCCGTACCGCTTCAATGTCGTTTGAGGTGATGGGTTTCTCCAACTCAACTGAAAGAATACGAAGCATGACAAGAATGTTGCCCAAGTATTTCTAGTTTGGTGAACGAACCATTCTGGTTAAATATTGCAGTATTTTAGTAACGAGCCCCGACCTTTCAGGTCATAGAAATTTTCCACTTTTGTCGAACTCTTGAAGAATCATTTCGTTATCGTTCGGATCGGGTTTCGAACCCGCAGTCATAGCATCCGAACGCCTATAAGGGGACGCAACTCTGTTCACCAAAATACGCAGCCTAAAACGAGTCGTACCCCATAAACGACATCACTTTAGCACCAAATTAGCAGACTACCCCATACTCAGTAGATTTGAACACAATCAAGGTCACAGTTAAGGGTGAGTGAGTGAGTTTAGTTTTACGCCGCATTTAGCAATATTCCAATAATATCACGGCGTTGACCAGAAATGGTCTTCACACATTGTACCTATGTGGGGAATCGAACCCGGGTCTTCAGCTTGATGGCCGAATGCTTTACCCACCAGGCTATCCTACCACCCCACAGTTTAGGGGTGTCAGTACCTTTCAGTTTGAGCTGGACGCTATCCCGGACCTCGGTGAACCTCTGGTATGCTGACTTGTCGTCCGGGATGGTTCGACTCCGCATCCAGTTCCCGCAGGCAAACTCATAGAAGTTTTCACATGGATCAACGGTGAAGTCTATGGCGTTTATGAGGCTGGCGGCTGTAAAGTTCAAAGGGTTACATTGAACCAAACAATTCGTAATCAAACTCTGTTGGTGTTGCCTCACAAAAATACTGTCATTGTTTAGAAAAAAGTAAATTATTTCAAAATATTTCATTCATTCATTTATTGACAGATCATTCTTAAACACATATCAAGTGATCACTGTTTAGTTTACAAATGTTTCGGAAAACAATCAACCCGAGAAGAGCGAAAACTGTGACACCTCATTCAGCAGCAAGTGAGTGAGTGAGTGAGTGAGTGAGACTGGTTTTACGCCGCTTTTAGCAATATTCCAGCAATATCACGGCGGGGGACACCAGAAATGGGCTTCACACATTGTACCCATGTGGGGAATCGAACCCGGGTATTCGGCGTGACGAGCGAACGCTTTAACCACTAGGCTACCCCACCGCCCCTTCCAGCAGCAAGACAAGAAAGGATGTGAAATAGGTTGCAGTTTGGAGACAATGTGACGACCGGTGGTTTAGAATACATGTTTTTCCCCAATATCCCCGACTCTGCGTAGCTCACCTTCCCTGACGCAATCTTTTGAAGTGCAGGCTGCTTCTGAAAAAACAATGCAAGTATCAAAATACTGCGACATTGTTTGATTGATGACCGAATCAACAAAAATAAAGATCCCGATAAACTGACATTCAGAAGTTGCCAGTTGCAACAATTTCACAATCTATTCTGGGTATGACAGACCGGTGATTGATATAATGAGTAACGCATCCACGTGGTCGTGGCTCTATTGTACACCGAGAGCCAGGTGTGTTATCACCCCATACCCAACCTGGTCGACTCTTGCAACAAGCATGTCATTGAGGTACAGTTCCGTTCTTAGGGGGTAGAAAGCAGCAGAAATATGTAGTTGTAACAGACAAAATATTACAAACATATTGCAAGAAGCGCATGCGCATATACGATATTTGACCACCCGATACCCATCCGGTCGATTATTACGTCAAGCGCGAGGTACCTTTTTCGGCCTTACGGGATTTGTAAGTGTAAAATGATAGAAATATGTAGATGTACAGATGTACAATGTTTCAAGGATGATGAACAAGACAGTATTCTTCATTTGCACCACCCGATCTCCAAACTAATTTGCTGTTTCGAGACCGTGGGCTGCTTGGGACATGTTCCGTTCCACGTGGATAGCCAGGGTAGCCATTAGTAGAACATTCTAGATGTAACAGCTGAAAAAGAATTCCAATTGTGTTGCATTGATTGATTGATTGATTGATTGAGTGTTGTTTAACATTGCACTCAGCAATATTCCAGCTATAATCGAGTCTGGACCAGACAATCCAGTGATCAACATCATGACCATCGATCGACGCATGTGGGATACGATGACGTCAACCAAGTCAGCGAGCCTGACCACCGAATCCCTTTAGTCGCCATTTACGACAAGCATGGGTTGCTGGAGGCCAATTCTAGCCCGGATCTTTATGGGTAAATTTGTTTCAAGACGAACAGAGACGTAAACTGCATATAAGCCGTCGTTGTTGCTAACTTGCTAGCTGACTCACGTTCACCCTTTGTTGCTTGTGTGCCTGGCGATACTGATGCTGAAATCTACAGTCAAGGCTGTGTCTGTAATCACTGATCAATGTCTCCCAACCAACTACTTTCAACTTTCAACTCACAATTCGTGTATTCGGAAATTAGTTTATCCGGACCGTTTTCGTCTGGATTACCAGGGTTTCAGTGTATTTGACTTACTTTGACCGGAAGGAGCTTTCGTTGTTGGTGGCACCGGGCCCTGATTCTGTCCAGCGCCTTGACCACCTACAGAATTCATCAGCGGTCACTAACAAGAGGGAAGTCCAAGGAGAAGAAGCTACAACGCGTCTACAGTGATCTTGAGTTTACAGACCTGCTATGTACCACTGGTAGATCATCTTCATGGGTATAAAATAATATTTTACCCAAACTGGTCTCTATTGACAAACAGCGATGGAAGAACAGCGTCCAGATAACGCCCAAACAAAGAGCTTCCTGCCACCTACATCAACAAGTCACCTGCAGCCCCTAGACGCTGGGATTATCCAGTCATTCAAGGCTCATTACAGGAGACATCAGCTCAATCACCTTGTTGATTGCATAGGGCCTCTAACTGTCCTACCTGGTTATAATGCCACCCTGGATATAATGCCATATTTTCCACTGGACAAACGGTGGCATTATAACCAGGGTATACTGTACTTTCAACTCATAATTCGTTTATTCGGAAATTAGTTTATCCGGACTGTTTTCGTCTGGATTACCATTGTTTCAGCGTATTTGACTTACTTTGACCGGAGGAAGCTTTCGTTGTTGGTGGCACCTGGCCCTGATTCTGTGCAGCGCCTTGACCATTCTGAGACACGGTGCTTGTAGACCCAGAGGCTGAAAACACAGCAGTAAGTGACTTAGCTTCTACGCCGCTTCGAACAGTATTTCAGTTAAGTGAGTGAGTGAGTTTATTTTTACGCAAGCTTTTAGCAATATTCCAGCAACAGCACGGCGGGGGACACCAGAAATGGTCTTCACACATTGTACCTACGTGGAGAATCGAACCCGGGTCTTCAGCGTGATGAGCGAACGCTTTAACCACTAGGCTACCCCATCGTCCCGTATTTCAGTTAAATAACATAAACGACAATAGTCATAGATATTTACAAACTAGGGAGACCAAGGAGAAATTACAATATCAACTAATTTTGAATGAGCATATTCTTGTAAGCAACTCCGAAGCATTCCCCTAATCAAGATGTGAGTGAATGAGTGAGTTAGCTTTGCGCCACTTTTAGCAATATTCCAGCAATATCACAGCGGGGAACACCAGCGGGCTTCACATATTGTACATATGTGAGGAATCGAATCGCAAAATAGGTATATAGTTCTTTTATTTAAATGTTATGTACTATTTGCAAGACTAGAGACTTGTGCGCATGCGCATCATTGGGCAGTTGGGGTGCTGATTTTTACCAACTCTTGTGATTCCGGAACAAGTCGAATGACTTCTTGCAGGAAAGGGTCTCGTGTTAGGGTAGTGGGTGATGATGATGATTTGGAGATTTAACGTGCGCTTTTCGACATAATACGTATTTCGCACACCGATGTTTCGTGTGCATGCGATATGAAAAGACGGAGCCCAGCCGTGAAAGACGGCACACTGGTGATAACATGTACTCCAGGCACCCTATCCACAGAGCGTTCGTAGTACCATGCAATTCTTTAGCCTACTATAAAGTAAAGAGTTACGATAGGTCGTAACGTTACGAACGCTTTGTGGATCGGGTCCCAGAGCTTCCAGGTCCAAGACAGACAAAAAGCTTGAGATGCCAGTGTCCAAATGCCGGGTCCAGGGTGGAGCCTAATAGGGAGAAGCAAGTCCATAGGACTTACTCTGAACCAATCAGTAAGCGTCTTACATTGCAGAAACCTTGATTCAACTCATAATTCGTTTATTCGGAAATAATTTCCTTGATTCCAGAAGAGTTTCGAAAGAAACTTTTAAATCTCTGCTAAAGACCCATCTATTCACTGCTGCCTTTCTGTAAAGTTATATGAACTATTTCCTTCACCAATATTGTCACAGCGCCACTGAGCATCTCTATGGTGGATATTAGGCGCTTTATAAATACATTATTATTATTATTTTATTATACTCACAGCAATCGGACGTTGTCTTCGTCTCCAGTTTAACGATGAGGCCGATGATGAGGGTGAAGGTGCAGATGGCGAGGAAGACTGAGAAACACAACATCACCTTCTCCCTTCCCGTCATTTTCTGCGAGCTTTTGTAGGACACGCTTAAATAAAGAGTGAGTGAGTATGTTTTTACGCCGCTTTTTTAGCAATATTCCAGCAATATCACGGCGGAGGACACCAGAAATGGGCTTAACACATTGTACCCATGTGGGGAATCGAACCCGGGCCTTCGTCGTGACGAGCGGACGCTTTAACCACTAGGCTACCCCACCGCCCCGCTTAAATAAATAAGACACTCTGGTGAGCAGCCGTATATATCTACAATAGCTACATGTACCATAATCCCCCTCGTCAGTGTATTCTAATATCAGTTTTTATGTTTTATGTAAAGTTGCCAGACAGAATATTAATTTCCGCCATCTAGGAATCCGCCATCTTCTTTTCCCCATACTGTACTGGCCATTGATCTGGAATCCTTATTGCATGATCAACATTTAATAGAACTATTACATGTATTTGCAGAAAATTGATTCAAGAAATTGTTTGTTTTTAAGATTTGTATCCAAAATCGGTTTGCGCTTTAAATCCCAAAGCGAGCATTAGCAGACATTTCTAACAACACGATCGATAGCCCCAAATGAGTGAATTTAGTTTTACGCCGCTTTTAACAATATTTCAGCAATTTCACGGCGGGGGACACCAGAAATGGGTTTCACACATTGTACCCATGTGGGGAATCGAACCCGGTTCTTCGGCGTGACGAGCGATTGCATTACCCACTAGGCCAACCAACCGCCCCTCACCACAACGACATTTTGCAATCACAGTATATATACGTCCATTGTCGGAAACTTTTAAAGGACCTGGTAAACTAACGCTTAGTTTCGAAAAGTACTTAATTTTTATGAAAACAAATATCAGTATTTTAATTAAAAGGAGCTCTTGTGAGTTGGCAGATTCAGAACCTGATCTTGAGGATAAGTACTTTGCCGAGAAGCCTGAGCGGAAATTATGTGGTTCACGAACTATGCATACTGACCTGGGTACAACCTGGCCGTTGCCACCCTCCGTGAACCGGTAGGAGTTAGCTCCCTTTTCGTCCATGACCGAAGACTAGGTAAGGATGTCGAACCTGGAACAGAGCAAATTAATATACATTAGTGAATAATAATAGCATCAACAAGAATATAAATTTTTAAAAATAATCATGAAAGAAGAAATATTATATTAAAAGATGGGGACAAGGGTGGTACATTCGTCTCAGACACCGCAAATTTACTTGTAAAGTTATGCCCCCTCCGACCTACAAGTCCCCAATATCCAAAGACTAAAGCGACGACTAAAATGAGTGAGTACAGATTTACAGCAATATCAATACGGGTAAACATATATCAATACGGGTAAACATATATCAATACGGGTAAACATAATGGACTACATACATTGTATACCGGGAGGAGTCAAACTCGAGTCGAGAACCCGTAAACCAATAGGCTTGCAACGTTTCGATTTCGTTTGTAAGCGTTTGGTCACATGTAAACTGATGCACAAAAGAAAGTTCAAAACTTAGGCTTTACAATTATTTTCCAAAAGACCCAAAGTACATGTATATCTAGCTGCTTATTGCAGAGCTATGGCTTGGGAGAGCCTGTGTAAATAGTGTAATAGGCTAGGTGAGGTGAGGTGAAATTGGGTTTTACGTCGTGCTTGAGAATATTTCGCTCATATGACGACGTTAGGCTAGGTGAGGTGAGGTGAAATTGGGTTTTACGTCATGCTGGAGAATATTTCGCTCATATGACGACGTGCATGCGTGTGTATGTGTATGTGCGGCTGCTTGTACTAGCCCAGACTTAAGCTGGTTTTATAGTGCTAGCCCACTGAGATACCATGCCGCTGTGAAGCATGAATACCCCACTCAGACACATTATAGTGACTCCGAACCGACCAGTCCTTGTTGTACCCATTAATGCCGAGCGCCAGGCAGGGACCAACAAGTACCATATTTTAACGTCTTTTGGTTTGACGAGGTCGGGGATCGAACCCGCGACCTTCCGCTCTCCGGGCGGACGCTCTAACCACTACACCACGGAGGCGGTCTTAGGCTAGGTAGTAGTTATTGATAACTATATGTACATGTAGTTGTAGGGGCGGTTGTGTAGCCTTTTGGTTAAAGCGTTGGCTCGTCACTCGCAAGACCGGGTTCGATTTCCTACTTAGGTACAATGTCCGTGACCCACTTCTCATGTCCTTCTGCTACAAAACTATACTCACTCACTACTGAAACGCCGCAGATGACGGCAGTTTGTAAATAATCGAGTGTGGACCAGACAATCCATCACGGACATATTTCTACACTATGACACATCAACAAAGTCAGCGAGTCCGTTAGACGCCATTTACGACACGCACTGGCGCCACCTTTGACAAGAAAGAGTTGCTGAAGACATCTAACCCAGATGTTTACGAAGCACATGTATGTATTGAACGTGTATACATAAAGTCAAAGTATGCATTCAAAATGTATTTTAGTCAACGTATGTTGTTGGCGAGCAACAAAAATAGTGGTCGCTCGACAAGCGTGGGTAGCTCTCACTTTCGAATGCATCTACAAGTCAATACCGTGCGCATATTCTGATTCCAATGTATATTTACAGATATTTATTTTCATCATTATAGAGGAAATGCGACCTTATTTAATGCAATTTAGAGCAAGCCGTTTTGAAAGTATGTTAGTGAAATCCATTTGTTCATCAGCCTACTTATTTCGATGGGGTTCTCATTGATGAGGATCTATTTGGGTTGTAATCAAATTGTACAGAAAAACGTTTTGAAGTTTCTTGTAAAACATCAAAATACACGATTCACTACTCGCCGAGTGCTACAATCTACTAGATATACGATGATTACATATATTTTTGATGGAATATATTTTAAAACTATTATGGAAATGTATAGTGCAGGTGTTCAACCCATAAATGGCCCCTCCAATTAACCGAGGATGACAGCTCACTTGTCACCGAAGAAGACGGAAGTGTGATATTTTGCGCACTGGCAAATACAGATGTGCTGATGTGTGGGTCAAGTTGATTGGTTAGATTTACGAGGCGCATTCGATTGGATTGACTGACCTAAACTGCTCACACGGGAAACGGGTCGGCACATTACGGCACTATTTCGTTCACGACTGAGTTCGGTCCTGTCAAAAAGCAGTAACCATCTCGTGTCATTGACTTGTCCTCGCGTATTTTATGTCAAGATAAAAACTGTTACGAGCTGTCAACACGAAAACAAAGTCAGATATTTCAACCTTGATATGACAAGAAATGGCGCAAAGAGTCTAGAATGAGCGAGAAAGAAGATTTGACCAAATTTAGGCACTTAATAACATACATGTCGGCCATTCCGACACAAGTCAAGGTGACATTCGGCAAGAGAACGAAAGAGGTTCATGGACTAGATGATGGACGAGAAGGACCAACAACAGTCTTAAAGGAAAGTCCACCATCATCCTCGGTGATTAGGGTCGATATACGATTCGACCCACAAAAACAAGCTTCATATAAGACCGAACTAATGAAATATGTGTCATGATTATTTGTAATATATTTAAAGTAATATGAACTCACAAAATTGTTCATGCGAAGGAAAAAGTAAAAATGGGTCTTCTCAAAGGAGGTTACTCTAAGTGAAACGTGCCGTTGTCTGTATTGTCTGTGCCTTGTGGGCGTGGTCTCTTTTCTTCTCATACATCACCTTTTTGTATTTGTTGTTTACATTTCGTCACGATGAGCTATGAAACGCTGCTATTTTCTCATTTATATTGAAAAGGAGCCCTAGTGAGATGGGAGAACCTGCGGAAATCTAGACTTGCTTCATTTAGGGCTTAAGCATTGCAGAAAGGTATGGACAGAAGGAAAATTAATGCGGTTAGGGACTGAGACAGACTAAGTACCTATGAGACAGAAGGAGTTATAAAAACGGTCAGCCAGGTAACAGGTGAAATGGGGTCTAAAATTATTTCACTGAGATGATGACTTACATGCAGTGTTTGGTTGTTGGTACCAGCCTGGACCACTGCCATCCTTACAGTGCTAGTCCATAGGGAGACCAGACAGCAGTTTAACCCCTTACTGGGTCATTGCAGTCCTTGTTTCATCCTCTTACAAACGAGCACCAACAGGTCAACAACAAGTACCATCCTTAAACATGGTTTGTATAACGCGGCCATTGGAGGTGAGGTCAGGTGAAATTGGGTTTAACGTCGTGCTTGAGAATATTTCGCTCATATGACGACGTGCATGCGTGTGTATGTGTATGTGCGGCTGCTTGTACTAGCCCAGATTTAAGCTGGTTTTATAGTGCTAGCCCACTGAGATACCATGCCGCAGTGAAGCATGAATACTCCACTCAGACACATTATACTGACTCCGAGCCGACCAGTCCTTGTTGTACCCATAAATGCCGAGCGCCAGGCAGGGACCAACAAGTACCATATTTTAACGTCTTTTGGTATGACGCGGTCGGGGCGCAGCCATTGGATCGAACTACTGACCATCCACTCTCAGCGGACGGGAACTTGATCCATTAGAATTGGTTGGTTTCTTGTTTAACGCTGCACTCAACAATATTACAACTATATGGCGGCGGTCTGTAAATACCTCGAGTCTGGACCAGACAATCCGGTGATCATCATCATGACATGGATCTAAACAATTTGCATACGATGACATATGCCAACCAAGTCAGCGAGCCTGAGCACCTGATCCCGTTAGTCGCCTATTACGACAAGCATGGGTTACTGAAGACCAAATCTAACCCGGATGGTCACGAGTACGATCCACTAGAACACGAAGTGGAGTTGAGGTAAGTTTCTCCATAGCGCTAAAGGTTAGTACTCTCCTCTAACGGCATCCACGTGGAAATTCCATTTCAAGTTTCTCTACCGTTAAATTAAAGAGGTCAACTTTACCCATGCTCGAAATGATGGGTGTTTGAGACTAGAACACGAAGTGGAGTTGAGGTAAGTTTCTCCACAGACCTGACTAATTCAAAGTAAGATATCATGCCGCCACGGAGTGAACTGTTGTTCGAATATTTCAAGTCTGCCGTGACAGTTCTTGGATAGCCAATGCGGCGTAAAACAACATGCATTCCGTCATAGTTATGCCAGCGCCTTAATTATCTGTTCTGAGCACTGAATCCAGAACGGAAGACAAAGTCAGGACCATGTCCAAAATGTGGACGAATTTCCTGCGGTGAGCGAAAAACTCCCAAGCGATGTCAGATTCAGCCATTAGATATCGATATTTGTCAGGCTCAAGTCTTTGGAGACAAAATCAATTTATTTGAAAACTATCACCTCTGTGGTGCGCGTTCCCCTGGAAGTATCAGCTTTGCGGTATTCAATATTATTAAGTGCTTGTTAAAACAAAGGAAAGCTTCAAAGCACTCTGTCGTCAGGGGCACAACCTAAAGGGAATGCGTATTTATTTTGGGAATGGGTAAATCGGCTTTGCAGCCCTGCGCTCTGAGAATTCCGTATTTGCTGAAGGTACTACAGGGATTTTCCAGCATAAAATGAGAAAATCCCCAATCAGCCAAGCCTCCATTAGGGACGCGTCCTTACCAAACAACTAGAAACAATTTGTCAAGCCTAAAACATAAATGTCACCAACGCGTTTCCTAGTGAGAAACGTCGGCACTAATTTGACCTTGACATTACTCGTCAGTGATCAATATAATCTCCCTTTGATGAGCTCTTTTCTCAAGGAGGGGGGTTTGTTATTGAAAATTATGCCACGATGCCCGAGGCGGCGATGAGTGTAGCGCGACGTTAGCGTTAAAGGTTAGTACTCTCCTCTAACGGCATCCACGTGGAAATTCCATTTCAAGTTTCTCTACCGTTAATTCAGAATTAAAGAGGTCAACTTTACCCATGCTCGAAATGATGGTAGTTTAAGACGGCTCAACAACGGAAGGCTAATTATGCCCAACTATTAGAGGTCGTATCCAAGTAAGCGGTGATGGTAATGGTGTTACCACATAACGTTAACGACGTCGGACGTTGATGAAGACGTTGGCGAGGTGGCCTACTGATGAGTTGGGTGTAGTAGTACTCAGAACAATGAG